TGCGGTGCAGGGAGGCATGGCTGGGGGAGGTGGTATCTGAGCTGGACCCCTCATCCCCCTACGACTATCTGAAGCGCCTCACCGACTGCCACCGTGTGCACCTCTTTGACGTCGCCACGCAGTACCACGCCATCTTCGCCCACCACTCCTCCGCCTCGCCAGATTCATCGAACCTGGACGAGGATTCGGCCGCGCTGGCTGCTCTGCTAGGGGACGGGGGAGTGGGGGGAGGAGCTGGGGGAGGGGTGGGGGGGGTGTTGGGGAAGTATGGGAAGGGCAGGGGGGGAGGTGGGGCGGTTTTGAACGGGTGGGGGGGTGGGGGAGCGGGGGGGGACGGGGGGCTGGTGTATGGGTGGGCCATGCACCGAGTGGCTGTGTATCTGGCAGCGCTGGCACAGCACCTGCCGAGAATCGAGGATGGGGGGTCGCTGGCTAGCGTGCTCGAGCACTGCATGGTGAGATGGGCGGCATGGTGAGAGGGGCAGCGTGGTGAGATGGGCGGCATGGTGAGAGGGGCAGCGTGGTGAGATGGCCGGCATGGTGAGATGGAGATGGGCGGGTGGACAAGCAGACCATGGTGAATTGGTCCTTAGCCCCATGGAGATGGGCGGGTTCCTCTTGCTGCTTATGCCTCATTTGCTCTGCTCTCCCTCCCTTCGCCCCTCTCCTCTCCCTTCTTACGCCATACCTCCTCTCCTCTCCTCTGCCTTGCCTCACCCTGCTGTCCCTAAATCCCGCTGTCCCTAAACCCGTCTGTCCCTAAACCTGTCTATGTCCCTCCTGGCAGTACTGCGGCATGAGTCTTGGACGAGTGGGTTTGGACCTCCGAGGCCTCCTGCCGCCCCTCTTTGAATCGTGAGTCGCTCTTGCCACTACTCATGCTGCTCCACTGTTACTGATTCGCTGCTTCTTTGATTATGACTGCTTCTGCTGCTGTCACCTTTCCTCGTCGTCGTATTATCACTCCCACCACCCTCATTACCCCCATAATTCTCTCGTCATGCTTCCCGTCCACCCCCCTCAGGTGTGTGCTGCGAATGTTCCAGCGCAGCATCTCCTTTGCGGTTGATTCCTTCCATGTGAGTGCTCTGCAATGAGTCGTCTGCGATGACCCATGCATGTGTCATTCATCTCACTCGTCACCCATCACCCATCACCCATCACCCATCACCCATCATCCATCACCCATCTTCCATTCATGGTATGTGCACATGGTGCGTGGGACACTTCCTCTGCCCCTCCCCTGCCTCGAACATGCATTGGCAGACACAGGTGCGTGTGCCACTGTCACCTTCTTTCCCCCGCCACCCCCCAATCCCCCACCCCCAATCCTCCTCTCCCTCCTTTCCACCCAGCACGTGTTGGAGACACACAGATGGGTGCCGCTCCCCTCCATGGGCACTGCTGCTCGCATGGGCCTGGGCCTGGATTAGTGACTCCCTTCCCCCCTTCCCCCTCATCTCTCTTCCCCCCACCCATCACAGCATGTGTTGGAGACGCACAGATGGGTGCCGCTGCCCTCCATGGGCTCCGCTGCTCGCATGGGCCTGGGAGGTGAATCCCTCGATGACGTGGCGCCGCCCTATTCGCTCATGGAGCACCCGCCATTGGCCGCCTTCGTGAATGGTGCGTACTCAGGGGGGGTGGAGCCGTCTGTGCTCATTGGGTGTGCTAAGGGGTTGATGGTTATTCTCTCATCGTAGATTGAGTACTGACATGTGATGCCACAAGGAGCCACGGCTGACTGACAGAGAGTGTCAGGGTGCATTCTGCTGACCGGTCCATCGAAGTTATCAACTCTCCATCCCCCCTTGTCCCAACTTCTGTCACCACCTTCACGCTCAGGCATTCTGGCAGCACTGAACGAGCTGAGGCACTGCGCACCGACGTCACTGAAGCAGCAGCTGGCAGGGGAGGTGAAGAGGGCGCTGGCAGTGGTGGCGGGGTTGCTGGGTCGCAAATGGTCAAAGTCGCCTGTTGACTTGCCTCATACCTCTCTACAACCCCCTTTTCCCTATCTTTCTCTCACACCCAGGCATTCTGGCAGCTCTGAACGAGTTGAGGCATTGCGCACCGACGTCACTGAAGCAGCAGCTGGCAGGGGAGGTGGAAAGGGCGCTGGCAGTGGTGGCGGGGTCACTGGGTCGCTACAGTCACACGCACATAGTCAAGGACTCCGAGGCAGCGCTCTTTATAAGCACGTGCAAGGCATTCGTGGAGGTGAGAGTTGGAGTGTGCTTGTAGGTAGAAGGGCGCTGGCAATGGTGGCATGGTTGCCGCAGCCCACTACAGTCACACGCTTATAGTCAAGGACTCTGGGGCAGCTCTCTTTATTAGCACGCGCAGGGCGTTCGTAGAAGTGATGCTGCTGGGTGTTGTAGTGCGAGTGTGTTGGTAGAAGTCTGTGCGAGTCTGTGAAATCTGTGAAGTCTGTGTGTGGATGTGGTGGTTCTCCCTCATGCACGTGTGGCTGCACCCGACATGGCCAACGAACGGAAACACTTTTCAGGCCCTTTACAGCATCACTGATACTTGCTATAAAAGCTCACACCTTTTCCATCTGTTTCATCACATTTGCTCCTTCATTTTCCCGCCCCCCACTTCTCCAACTCCCCCGGTTTCCTGGCCCCCTCCCCCCTCATGCAGGTGGTGTGCCCCTATGTGGCTGTCTGCTTCTCCCGCTGCTACGGCTCCCCTGCCACTCTCATATCCACGCAAGCAGCATGCGAGCCCGTGAAGCAACTCATACTCGCCTCCATGCCGCCTGCTGCTGCTGCCGATGCTGATGCTGATGCTGCTGGGGTGGATGAGGGGCAGGAGGGGGAGGAGGGGGAAGAGAGAAGGAGAGGAGACGAGGGGACCAGAGAAGGAGAGGGGGGTCAAGGGGAGGAGCAGGTGGGTGATGCTGTGAGGGATGGTAGTGGAGGTGAAGATGCATCCAGCGATGGTGTTATGGCGCGTGGTGGCCAATCAGAAGCAGGAGGGGGAAGTAGAGGAGAGGGGGGAGCAACAGGAGGTGAAGGGACATCCGTGCAAGGGTTAAAGCCAGCGGCACCTGTAGGTACAGCACCAGATGAGACGAGATGAGGGACGAATGCAGCTAGACTGGGTCAGCAGGTTGTGGAGGAGGCGGCTGTCAAGAGATAGCCGTAGTAGAGCCTAGGGTTTAGGTGCTAGGCAAGTGTCGAGAGTGGAAAGGAAGGAAGAGGGGTTCACTTGAGAAGTTGGAAACATATAAGCGAAGAGAAGATGGTGCACCACCAAACAGTTAAGAACGATAACTACACTAACTACATCAAGCAAGATATATCTTGACAGCGGCGTGCTTGGCATTAATTAGTGGAGTTTGTGGGACTAACTAAACAGTAAAGCATGTGGAGGTTAACAGCCGGGAGACACCGTATGAGATATGTCAAAATGTTTCAGTGCGCAGATAGTCGAGTTGCTATGCATGAATGGAAGAACTACAATCAGATTTGGCTAGGACTGAGTGGGTCTGCTTTGTACTACCGTAGTTTCCTCCAGAATTGTGTCGGTCTTATGTTGTGATATTGCTGTACTTCTGTACTTATGGTTTCAAATGACCGCATTCTTCTCGATGATCGAGCCTTAGCGCCGAACCTGGCAGACTCTTTGCTGCCGAGGCAGGTCCCCCGAATCACAGGCCTGTTTGTCTCACTACGTTACAGCTTCGGCGAAAAAAGGAGTTTCCCACGAGCCGAACCGAACCGAGTTTATCTAGGCCACGTGATTCCCAGAGGGGATTGCGGGAGGAGGTTTGTTCGGGATGGCTGATTTGATCGGCAAGAGGCACCGCACCAGAGAGCACCAAAACCGTGAAAAAACACTCTGTACCACGCGGAGGTTAACACGACTGTAACACAAGCTGAAGTTACAGTTTTAGAAGACACAAGGCAAGTTCGCCTTGCATATTTAGGTTGCCTGATAGCTTCCTACATGATATGCTCCTACTTACTAGCCAATAGCGACACGCGACAATGACGTCATAGTCAGTCCACCGCTTTATCGCCGTCGATACCCTCCTTTTTGCTCGGCATTGCGTTCGGCCGGTACTCTTGTTCCCTCAGTCGTCTTTGATCAGGCGCTCAGTGCGCAAGCAATCAGGCCTCCTAGTTTTCCGTCTCGCGATCTTCAGTCGCACATACTTCTGCTTCCATGGGACGCTAAACTCAAAACAGGCGAAATGGAGGAGCTAGAGAGGCGTCGTCGTCGCCGCTAAAGTCTTCGTGCCTCAGTGTTGTGCATTTCCAGTCAGGGTAACGAGCAGGCCCCTTAGTGGGGCCTGACTTATCAGCAGCCATGAGCCTTTTGGAGATTAAGTATGTCCCGCGGCCTCCGGCAATTGGACAGGGGTCCAACCTGGATTCCATGGTGAGTATTTGTAGTTCTTAATACTTCACCGCGAACTAGGTTACAGTCATAATCCGCGTTATGAGCTTACCCTACCACGAAAATGCAGTTTTTATGGAGGCAGATTTTGAGTCGACTTGACCGCGGTTTCTAGAAATTGGAATGTACGGTTTTGTTGAGTGCGTTTCTGGATACCAGGGCCTTGTGCGCGACGATAAATTAGTCCGTTTTTTGTTGGCTCACTAATCCCACGCGGAATGCTGGCCGCTGAGAACCGTCTCGCTTCGCATCAGTCCTTTCCAGTGGCAAAGCTCCTCACACAATCAAGGGGTCACCTTTATAAGGGAGATGCTAAACAAGTGGAATTCCCTCTTCCGAATCTCTCGTTGCGAGTCATTGCTTCCCTTTCTCCTCGTCTCTCAACCACAATTCCCCTTCCCCCGTCCCCCCTCACCTCCCATACACTCCCCTTTCCCCCCTCTCCTCCCCCCTCCCCTCCCGCTCACCTCCCGTCCTCCTCCCCCTATCCTCCCGCCTCCTCCCTCCTCCCTAGATTCTGCCGGAGGCCGAGGAGGTGCCCCACTTGCGCGAGTTGGACTTTTGCGTGAACGCGGACTTCGTGCACATAGAGAACAAGTACGGCACCTTCATCTGCGAGCCGCACCTCTCCTTCCCCAACCAAGTCTTCCCCTCCAACCCCTCAGACGCCCCTCCAGGTGAGTATCAGATAGAGTGGAAAACGGGTAGGTTCGGGGGAGGGGGGTGGAGGGGAATGCACCATGTTGGCGTGCGGAAGAAACCGCTTTTGGGGGGCTGCATGCTGGCTTGTGCTTCTTTATGATTCTCAAAAGACCTCCCCTCCAACCCCGCGCACGCCTCTCCAGAGCTTAACCTTCCTTCCACTGCCTTCACTCCCGCTTCTTCTGCTGCCTTTCCTCTCTCTGCTTCCACTGCCTTCCCTCCCTTTACATCCCTCGCTCGTTCCTCGCCTTTCTGTGTGCCAATTGCCCCGCCCATTCTCCGCCGTCTATATGCTCTTCGCTCCGAAGCAGGGAGCTACAGGCAGAATGGAGGGGAGGAGGAACCCGAGGACCCTTATGTCGGGGATAGGTCAATGGACGAGGTCGGTGCGCGGTGCTGGGTTATAGGAGTGAGGGAATTCGTCCAACCTGCTAGCTTTTTGTTTGACAGGAGGGCTCGCTGACTGAATACCCTGTTGCCTTCACTGTCCTGCCGTTTGATCAATGCCCATATTGTTGTCGCTGCTTGCTGATCCCCCTATTCCTTCTCGCCCACCCCGACCCCCCCCACACTCTTCCTCCCTACACCCCCCTTCCCCTCCCCCCTTCTCCCCTCTCAACCCGCCCTCCTTCACGCCCTCCCTCCTCCTCCTCCTCCTCCTCCTCCTCCTCCTCCTCCTCCTCCTCCTCTCCTCCTCCTCCTCCTCCTCCTCCTCTAGGAACTCTGTGTCTCTTTCACTTACTCATTCCCTCAATGCTGCTTCCCCCACTATCTCCATTGGTCGCCATGGCATGGCATGGATTGAAATCGAGTGGCATGGGTTGGCTTGGTTTGGCATAAGTGGCATATGTTGACATGAGTTGGCATGGGATGGCATTGGCCGGAATGGGCTGTCATGGGATGGCATTGGGCGGCATGGGCTAACATGTGCTGGCATGGGATGGCATGGGGTGGCATGGGGGGTGCCATGGGGCGGCATGGGTTGGCATGGGGTGGCATGGGTTGGCATGGGGTAAAATGGGTTGGCATGGGGTGGCATGGGTTGGCATGAGTTGGCATGGGGTGGCATGGGGTGGCATGGGGTGGCATGGGGTGGCATGGGCTGACATGGCGTGCATGGTGGGTGGTCTTGTGCATGGGCGCATGGGTGCATGGTGATGGGTGCATGGGCGTGGCGGTGGGTGCATGGTCGTGGGGCACTGCATGGTTCGCAGCACTACGGGGGATCGACCATAATGGCGTACGATCCGCTCTTCAACTGGGACTCGGAGCGCGCTGCTGTCATCGGCCACCGCCTGCCCATCCGCCCCATCACCTCGCCCTCCGTGTGAGTCAATCGTTCTGTCTGAGGAGACTCAAGCAAGCATGCTTTCGTGGCGTGGCACACTCCAAGCATCATCAGTGTGTGTGTCTGTGTGCCACGCCCTGCCCTTCCCCCACTCTTTCACGGCCTGCTTCCTCGCCTCCCAACCCCCCACCACACCGTCCCCCTCCCCACTTCCCCTCCTCCTCACTCACCCCTCGATTATATCTCATTCTCCCCACTGTTCTCCCCACTGTTCTCCCCAATGTTCTCCCCACTGTTCTCCCAGGTACGGAATCTAGGCCTAATAGTGCAAGCAGTACTGGTGGAGCCAGTGAATGGCATCGTCTGCCTGTACCACGCAGACCACCCTCCCCACCCGACCTTCCACTCCTCTCCCCGTCCCCGAACCCTCCCCACCGGTCCCCATAGGCACACGTTTCTCAGTGCGCATCCTGGGCCTGACGGTGCAAGCAGGCCTAGTGGAGCCAGTGAGCGGCGCGGCACCATGTGCCTGTACCACGCAGAGCGCCGGGAGAAGGCCTCCGAGGACTTCCACTTTCAGTTCCTCTCTCCCCAATCCCCACCCGTCTCGCTCCTCCCACAAGCCCTCCCTCATCATCTACCTCTCCCCCAAACCGACCTTCTACTCCCTCCCTCCCTCCCTGCTGCCCCCCTGCCTCCCTGTTCTTGTCCCCATTATTCCCTTAGAGGCACGCGTTTCTCGGTGCGAATTCTCGGCCTAACAGTCCAGGCGGGACTAGTGGAGCCAGTGAGCGGCACCATGTGCCTGTACCACGCAGAGCGCCGCGAGAAGGCCTCCGAGGACTTCCACTTCCAGTTCCTCCCACCGCAGTGGGAGGGCGAGAGCACGTCCCCTGATACCAGAGCCATCTTCTCGGTGGACAAGGAGTCGGCGGCGCTGTGCCTGCTGGTGCAGCTCGAGAAGGCTGCGAGTGAGGAGAGCGTGAATGGGATCAAACCGGCCGTGTATACTCGCAAGGACCCTGTGAGTGTGCTGTCAGGGTGGGTGTGGTTCGGATTAGAGGTGCTTTGGTCGTTGAGGCTCCTTGACAGTACAATCCAGTTTGCTTTTCTCCAATTCTCCCCTCGGCCTCTCTCCTTCCAATCTTCTCCCATGTTTACCCACCCCCTCCCCCGCCTTCCTCCCCATCCTTTCCCCCATTCTTCCCCCTCTCCTCCAGCCCACCCTGACGGACAAGGAAGCGGCACGCTTATCCGAGTGGGCACAAGTCATGCCTTTCCGAGAGCCCCTCGCGTGGATCACCATCCCCCTCTTCGACTCCTCCGTCACTGGCGGCGTGGGGGGCTTTGGATCATCAGGAGGGGGCAGCTCAGGGGGAGGCTCGTCAGGGAGCCTGGGGGGAGGCGGGGGCGTGCTGGGGGTGGAAGGAAGCGGAGGGGCGGGGTCGAGTCCAGTGGTGGATAGCAATGGGGTGCGCGTGCCGGCGTATGAGCTGGGGGGCCCGCCTGTTCAGATTGACATTCCCACGCTGAATCGCGCCAAGGAGTGCTACACTGACGACCAGCTGCTGGTAAGATGAGATGCTGGGTTGGTTTGGAGGCGACGTCGTATTAATGCTCTTGTGGAACGTTTTATAAATCACGCCAAGTTGTTTTCTCTTCTCATCGACAACTTCCCTTTCGCCACCTTCCCCCTATCTCCCTCCCCCCACCAAACCAATTCCCCTCCCCTCTCATGCTTCCCCATTCCCCTTCCCCCTGCCCTCCCCCCCACTCTCCCCCTCCACAGGACCCGAAGAAGAAGGCGCAGAAGCCAGTGCGTGTCTCCATGCACTTCGAGGTGGAAAGACTACCCGGGGGGGCGGCAGGGGGGGCGGCAGCGGGCGGCAGTGTGACACCACGGTCCCTCAGCAGTAGCGCATCCCAGAGGGGGGTGAACCGGGCGCGGTCGCAGGACTCCATGACCTCAGACATGGACGACGTCAACATGGTGCCTAGAAGCCTATCGGTTTCAAGATTCCTCTCCGGGGTGAGTGCTGCTCAGTGAGTGCCCTGTGAATTTCTTGCCGTCTAAACCTCACAGTAAGGTGGTTGGGTTGGGGACAAGAGGGGGGTGAACCGGGCGCGGTCGCAGGACTCCATGACCTCAGACATGGACGATGTCAACATGGTGCCTAGGAGCCTATCGGTTTCGAGATTCCTTTCCGGGGTGAGTGCTGCTCAGTGAGTGCCCTGTGAATTTCTTGCCGTCTAAACCTCACAGTAAGGTGGTTGGGTTGGGGACAAGAGGGGGGTGAACCGGGCGCGGTCGCAGGACTCCATGACCTCAGACATGGACGATGTCAACATGGTGCCTAGGAGCCTATCGGTTTCAAGATTCCTTTCCGGGGTGAGTGCTGCTCAGTGAGTGCCCTGTGAATTTCTTGCCGTCTAAACCTCACAGTAAGGTGGTTGGGTTGGGGACAAGAGGGGCGTGAACCGGGCGCGGTCGCAGGACTCCATGACCTCAGACATGGACGATGTCAACATGGTGCCGAGAAGCCTCTCTGTTTCTAGATTCCTCTCGGGGGTGAGTGCTGAGTGCGCTGTGTGTATCGTGTTGCCTCTGCTTGAGTCCACAGGGAGCGAGAGGGGGGGAAGTGGGGAGGGTGGGGATGGGCATGGTCGCAATCCATGAGCTCAGAGGTGTCGATATGGCCAACATCCAATCCCACTCACCCCCTTTCCTTCTCCTTTCCTCCCTCCCCCCTGTCGTTCCCCCCACCCTCCCCCCTCCTTCCACCCCACCAGTTCCAGGCAATCGACTTCACGGACATGGTGAGGGCGGAGCCCTTCACGCGCCTGGTGGATCTGCTCTTCGCCTCCTTCCCTGCCCCACCTCTGCAGCTCAAATGACTTCTTTCCCTTCCACTTCTCCCTCACCTCACCCTCTCCCTCCCCACCAGTTCCAGGCAATTGACTTCACGGACATGGTGAGGGCGGAGCGGAGCCCTTCACGCACCTCTTGCATCTGCCCTTTCCCTCCTCCCCTGCCCTTCACCCTTAAGCCCCACTTCCTCCCCCTCACCCCTCCCCCACGCACCAGTTCCAGGCAATCGACGTCACGGGCATGGTGCGGGCGGAGCCATTCACGCGCCTGGTGCACAAAGAGCAGCCACGTCCCCCCTCTCCCCCCCCCCCCCCCCCCGATGCTCTTCAACCCTCTTCTCTGTGCAGTTCCAGGCAATCGACTTCACGGACATGGTGAGGGCGGAGCCCTTCACCCGCCTGGTGCATCTGCTCTTCGTGTATCCGCAGCAGGTCGCGCTGCCCAAGAAGCTCAACCTCTTTGTTCGCACTGAGCTGCGTGCCGACGATCTTGACATCCAACGGCCCTCGATGGAGGTGAGTGTCGATCTGACGGCTGTCTGTGGAGGTGAGGTGAGTAACAACCCGACGGCTGTTAGTGGACCATGCAGCAGGTGACGCTGCCGAAGAAGCTCAACCACTTGGTGTGCTCCGAGTCCGAGCTCTGCGCACTGCGTCAACCCAAGTGCGCCCACGCCCAGCGCTGTTCCACGATGAGGTCAAGATGCAGCTGACTGCCCGCCTCTGTGTCGCCCTCTTCCCTGCCTTCCCTCCCTCCCGTCCTTCCTTCCTCCCTCTTCGTCCAGGCTATCTTCCCCAAGGAGCGCAATGGCCCCATGCTGCGAACAGCGTCAACCCAGGTGGTGCAGGGTGCACGCCCAGCACTCTTCCACGACGAGGTCAAGATGCAGCTGCCTGCCTCTGTGTCGCCCTCGCACCATCTGCTCTTCACCTTCTTCCACATCGACCTCTCCCTGCGCTCCGAACGGCCCAAGCCGGTGAGGGGCATATGAGGTACACAGTCATGGTCGTAAGGCGGGTACAGGGTAAGTTTGTAAGGGGTAGAGATAGATTGAAGATGGAGCTGCCTGCCTCTGTGTCACCCTCACACCACCACACACATCAATTAGGGAAACCTGAAATTCGGGGTATCACAAGTTTTAATTTTCTCGTCCGATCTGTTTTTACCTTTCCTGGTCTTTGTACTGCGTTTTTTTTATGCAGGTGGCAGTGGGTTACGCAGTCATGCCTCTTGCTGCTGCTCTACAGTACGTTCCCCTTCCCTCCTAAGCTTGGCAGTACGTTCCACCACTGTGATTTCTTGCACATTCCTTTGGATGATCAACAATCCTGAGGCGTTGATTACCTGCCATGGGGTTCATCTCCCATCATCTTCCATAATCTGCGATGCGTTTCATCCGCCATGTATCTTATCCCCCCGACACTTTGTCTGCCAGAGCGTTCAAAGCCGAGGTGAATCTGCCCATATCCAAGGACCTGCAGCCGCGCTACCTGCAGGAGAGCACCAAGGTGAGGCACACAGGGCTGCCTCATTGCATCGTTGCTTCACTGAATGCTTGGAGTGGAATGTTGCCACGTAAATCTGGCCATATTTAGGCATTTTCAGCTCCACCTACTGGCAGAGCTTCCATCTCCGGTTGGCAGAGTGCTGAGAGAATCTACCCATCTCTCCTCTTTCCAACCCCCACCAGTCGCGCCTGACCTACTGGGAGGAAGGGCGCCCCATCTTCCGAGTGCGCACGCGCCTCTTCTCCTCTCTCCTCCCTCACTCCTCCCTCACTCCTCCCTCACTCCTCCCTCACTTCTCCCTCTCTCCGACCGCCTGAGGGACTTCTTCCACCAGTTCGACCGCCACATGCTGGAGGCGCCTCCTTTCTCTCCTTTCAAACCAACTCCCTTGCCTCCCACCCCAACCCCCCCTTCCCCCTTCCTCCCAAACCACTTCTCTTCTTCCCCTCTCCCCTCCCACCAGTCGCGCCTGACCTACTGGGAAGAGGGCCGTCCCATATTCCGCGTGCGCACGCGCCTCTTCTCCTCGCTGCTCCCGCTCTCCGACCGACTGCGCGACTTCTTCCACCAGTTCGACCGCCACATGCTGGAGGCGCCTCTGCCAAGAGAGGACCTCCTGGAGGCAATCAACGCACTCAAGACGGTGGACGTGGTGGTGCTCATGCAGTTCCTCTACCCGCTGCTCAACATGCTGCTCTGCATGATCGGGAATGGCGTGGAGACGCTGCAGGTGGCGGCTTTCCGAGCTATGATCAACATCGTCTCCAGGTGGGGTCCTTAGTTTCGTTTCCTGTGTGGGGATCTGTTGTTGTATCCCTCTCATCCCGCTTCATGCCCCCCTTGGCCCCTTCTTCCCCTTCGTTTCCCTCTCCCCAGTCCTCTGCAAGCAGTGTGCATCGCAGTCGCTTCCTCGTGCCCTTTGTCCCATCCCCTCGTCTCACCCCTCACCACTCCACCCTCTCTCCCACTAAGCAGAGTGCAGCTGGAGTTGGCACCGCTCAGCCCCCATGGAGCGCAGTCACTTCCTCGTGCACTTTGTCGACTTCATATTTGTCTTTTCCCCACTCTACTTCCACTCATCCCCATCTCCCCATCCACATACTCCCACTAAGCAGAGTGCAGCTAGAGTTGGCACCGCAATCAGGTGCAGCCCCCATGGAGCGCAGTCGCTTCCTTGTGCACTTTGTCGACTTCATATTCGACGACCTCGGTCGCAACCAGCCGCCCGTGTACCCGGGTCTCAGCAACGTGTGGCGCAGCCTGGCGCGCAGCAAGGTGCGCACGTTAGCAGCCGGGGTATGTATGACATGTGAATGTTTAGACTACATCTTTGATGACCTTGGAAGAAGCTGGTTGGGTTTGTCTCAAAACTCGGTCGCAGCCAGCCGCCCGTGTACCCGGGGCTCAGCAACGTGTGGCGCAGCAGCCTTGCGCGCAGCAAGGTGTGTGCGCCACTGGGAGAAGGGGGAGGGGGGTGCGGGGAGCGGGTAGCATAGCAGGGAGCAGGGAGGGAGAAGCAGGGAGAGGGAAGGAGGGGGGGGGGGGGGGAGAGAGAGGCAAAACATAGTCGCAACCAGCCGCCCCGCCCGTGTATCCGGGGCTCAGCAATGTGTGGCATGGCGCAGCCTTGCCCGCAGCAAGGTAGGAGCGATTCTAGTAGTCGTCTGAGTTGAGTTGTGCTCCGAGTTTGGTCGCGGCCCTCTTCACTTTGCGCTGCAATCCCTTTTAGTGCATCTCCCGCTCTCACGTGCTCTCTCCCTACCACTCACTCCCCACCCACACCCTGCCCCCACTCCCCCCAACCCTCTTCCCATACTACCAGTCGCGAGGGTTCCGAGTGGGGCCGGTGTATGCGGAGGCTCTGCAGATGGCGTGGTTTGTTCTGGAGCTCATCGTTAAGTCCATGGACCTAGAGCTGGCTCAGGTGCCGCAAGGTGCGATGCGATGTGATGCGGTGAGAGTAGTCAGATGTGATGAGAACGTTGAGACATGATGAGTTATCATTTGTTTTATGAGATCGCAGGTCGTATGGTTCAGTCTGTGCAGCTGTTTGGATGTTGCTATGTGAAGATTAAGTAAATGCCCCCCTGCCTGCCACTGCTTCATGCCCCTCGTCCTGGGAATGTGCACTGCCATGGCATGAGATATTGCTGGATTGAGGTTTGAGTATGAAGCACTTCTCTGCCCCCGGTACCCCGTCCGTTTCACAGCGACCTCAGCTTTTCTTTCTCCTGGTGCATGCATCTCTCCTTCTGCATCTCTCCTTCTGCATCTCTCCTTCTGCATCTCTCCTTCTGCATCTCTCCTTCTGCATCTCTCCTTCTGTATCTCTCCTGCTGCATCACCAGGCAATGAGATTGCTCGTCTACGGCTAGAGGACGAGGTGTTTCTGTGCTTCCGGCAGCTCTTTGAGTGTCTGCTGGCCGAGGTGCTTGAGAAGACTGTTTCCAACTAGCCCCCATTCTCCCGTTTTCCCCTTCTTACCCCCTTCCCCCGCACATAACACCACCAGGGGACGAGATTGCTCGGCTAAGGCTAGAGGACGAGGTGTTTCTGTGCATCCGGCAGCTGTTTGAGTGCCTGCTGGCCGAGGTGCATGAGAAGGCCGTCTCAGACCCGCCCCTCGCCAAGAGCCTCAGCTCCTCCATCTCCTTCTTCTGCTACGACCTCATCTCCGTGGTGGATCCGCCACAAGTCTTTGAGCTGGTGAGCGCCCTTCTATTGCTAGAATGTGGCTGTTTGAGTCAAGCCATCCATTCATCCGCCAAGAGCCTCAGCTCCTCCATCTCCTTCTTCTGCTACGACCTCATCTCCGTGGTGGATCCGCCACAAGTCTTTGAGCTGGTGAGCGCCCTTCTATTGCTAGAATGTGGCTGTTTGAGTCAAGCCATCCATTCATCCGCCAAGAGCCTCAGCTCCTCCATCTCCTTCTTCTGCTACGACCTCATCTCCGTGGTGGATCCGCCACAAGTCTTTGAGCTGGTGAGCGCCCTTCTATTGCTAGAATGTGGCTGTTTGAGTCAAGCCATCCATTCATCCGCCAAGAGCCTCAGCTCCTCCATCTCCTTCTTCTGCTACGACCTCATCTCCGTGGTGGATCCGCCACAAGTCTTTGAGCTGGTGAGCGCCCTTCTATTGCTAGAGTGTGGCTGTTTGAGTCAAGCCATCCATTCATCCGCCAAGAGCCTCAGCTCCTCCATCTCCTTCTTCTGCTACGACCTCATCTCCGTGGTGGATCCGCCACAAGTCTTTGAGCTGGTGAGCGCCCTTCTATTGCTAGAGTGTGGCTGTTTGAGTCAAGCCATCCATTCATCCGCCAAGAGCCTCAGCTCCTCCATCTCCTTCTTCTGCTACGACCTCATCTCCGTGGTGGATCCGCCACAAGTCTTTGAGCTGGTGAGCGCCCTTCTATTGCTAGAGTGTGGCTGTTTGAGTCAAGCCATCCATTCATCCGCCAAGAGCCTCAGCTCCTCCATCTCCTTCTTCTGCTACGACCTCATCTCCGTGGTGGATCCGCCACAAGTCTTTGAGCTGGTGAGCGCCCTTCTATTGCTAGAGTGTGGCTGTTTGAGTCAAGCCATCCATTCATCCGCCAAGAGCCTCAGCTCCTCCATCTCCTTCTTCTGCTACGACCTCATCTCCGTGGTGGATCCGCCACAAGTCTTTGAGCTGGTGAGCGCCCTTCTATTGCTAGAGTGTGGCTGTTTGAGTCAAGCCATCCATTCATCCGCCAAGAGCCTCAGCTCCTCCATCTCCTTCTTCTGCTACGACCTCATCTCCGTGGTGGATCCGCCACAAGTCTTTGAGCTGGTGAGCGCCCTTCTATTGCTAGAGTGTGGCTGTTTGAGTCAAGCCATCCATTCATCCGCCAAGAGCCTCAGCTCCTCCATCTCCTTCTTCTGCTACGACCTCATCTCCGTGGTGGATCCGCCACAAGTCTTTGAGCTGGTGAGCGCCCTTCTATTGCTAGAGTGTGGCTGTTTGAGTCAAGCCATCCATTCATCCGCCAAGAGCCTCAGCTCCTCCATCTCCTTCTTCTGCTACGACCTCATCTCCGTGGTGGATCCGCCACAAGTCTTTGAGCTGGTGAGCGCCCTTCTATTGCTAGAGTGTGGCTGTTTGAGTCAAGCCATCCATTCATCCGCCAAGAGCCTCAGCTCCTCCATCTCCTTCTTCTGCTACGACCTCATCTCCGTGGTGGATCCGCCACAAGTCTTTGAGCTGGTGAGCGCCCTTCTATTGCTAGAGTGTGGCTGTTTGAGTCAAGCCATCCATTCATCCGCCAAGAGCCTCAGCTCCTCCATCTCCTTCTTCTGCTACGACCTCATCTCCGTGGTGGATCCGCCACAAGTCTTTGAGCTGGTGAGCGCCCTTCTATTGCTAGAGTGTGGCTGTTTGAGTCAAGCCATCCATTCATCCGCCAAGAGCCTCAGCTCCTCCATCTCCTTCTTCTGCTACGACCTCATCTCCGTGGTGGATCCGCCACAAGTCTTTGAGCTGGTGAGCGCCCTTCTATTGCTAGAGTGTGGCTGTTTGAGTCAAGCCATCCATTCATCCGCCAAGAGCCTCAGCTCCTCCATCTCCTTCTTCTGCTACGACCTCATCTCCGTGGTGGATCCGCCACAAGTCTTTGAGCTGGTGAGCGCCCTTCTATTGCTAGAGTGTGGCTGTTTGAGTCAAGCCATCCATTCATCCGCCAAGAGCCTCAGCTCCTCCATCTCCTTCTTCTGCTACGACCTCATCTCCGTGGTGGATCCGCCACAAGTCTTTGAGCTGGTGAGCGCCCTTCTATTGCTAGAGTGTGGCTGTTTGAGTCAAGCCATCCATTCATCCGCCAAGAGCCTCAGCTCCTCCATCTCCTTCTTCTGCTACGACCTCATCTCCGTGGTGGATCCGCCACAAGTCTTTGAGCTGGTGAGCGCCCTTCTATTGCTAGAGTGTGGCTGTTTGAGTCAAGCCATCCATTCATCCGCCAAGAGCCTCAGCTCCTCCATCTCTTTCTTCTGCTACGACCTCATCTCCGTTGTCGACCCGCCGCAAGTCTTCGAACTGGTGAGCCCTTTCCTAGAGTGCGGCTGGTGAGCCCTTTCCTAGAGTGCGGCTGGTGAGCCCTTTCCTAGAGTGCGGCTGGTGAGCCCTTTCCTAGAGTGCGGCTGGTGAGCCCTTTCCTAGAGTGCGGCTGGTGAGCCCTTTCCTAGAGTGCGGCTGGTGAGCCCTTTCCTAGAGTGCGGCTGGTGAGCCCTTTCCTAGAGTGCGGCTGGTGAGCCCTTTCCTAGAGTGCGGCTGGTGAGCCCTTTCCTAGAGTGCGGCTGGTGAGCCCTTTCCTAGAGTGCGGCTGGTGAGCCCTTTCCTAGAGTGCGGCTGGTGAGCCCTTTCCTAGAGTGCGGCTGGTGAGCCCTTTCCTAGAGTGCGGCTGGTGAGCCCTTTCCTAGAGTGCGGCTGGTGAGCCCTTTCCTAGAGTGCGGCTGGTGAGCCCTTTCCTAGAGTGCGGCTGGTGAGCCCTTTCCTAGAGTGCGGCTGGTGAGCCCTTTCCTAGAGTGCGGCTGGTGAGCCCTTTCCTAGAGTGCGGCTGGTGAGCCCTTTCCTAGAGTGCGGCTGGTGAGCCCTTTCCTGGAGTGCGGCTGGTGAGCCCTTTCCTAGAGTGCGGCTGGTGAGCCCTTTCCTGGAGTGCGGCTGGTGAGCCCTTTCCTAGAGTGCGGCTGGTGAGCCCTTTCCTGGAGTGCGGCTGGTGAGCCCTTTCCTAGAGTGCGGCTGGTGAGCCCTTTCCTAGAGTGCGGCTGGTGAGCCCTTTCCTAGAGTGCGGCTGGTGAGCCCTTTCCTAGAGTGCGGCTGGTGAGCCCTTTCCTAGAGTGCGGCTGGTGAGCCCTTTCCTAGAGTGCGGCTGGTGAGCCCTTTCCTAGAGTGCGGCTGGTGAGCCCTTTCCTAGAGTGCGGCTGGTGAGCCCTTTCCTAGAGTGCGGCTGGTGAGCCCTTTCCTAGAGTGCGGCTGGTGAGCCCTTTCCTAGAGTGCGGCTGGTGAGCCCTTTCCTAGAGTGCGGCTGGTGAGCCCTTTCCTGGAGTGCGGCTGGTGAGCCCTTTCCTAGAGTGCGGCTGGTGAGCCCTTTCCTAGAGTGCGGCTGGTGAGCCCTTTCCTAGAGTGCGGCTGGTGAGCCCTTTCCTAGAGTGCGGCTGGTGAGCCCTTTCCTAGAGTGCGGCTGGTGAGCCCTTTCCTGGAGTGCGGCTGGTGAGCCCTTTCCTAGAGTGCGGCTGGTGAGCCCTTTCCTAGAGTGCGGCTGGTGAGCCCTTTCCTAGAGTGCGGCTGGTGAGCCCTTTCCTAGAGTGCGGCTGGTGAGCCCTTTCCTAGAGTGCGGCTGGTGAGCCCTTTCCTAGAGTGCGGCTGGTGAGCCCTTTCCTAGAGTGCGGCTGGTGAGCCCTTTCCTAGAGTGCGGCTGGTGAGCCCTTTCCTAGAGTGCGGCTGGTGAGCCCTTTCCTAGAGTGCGGCTGGTGAGCCCTTTCCTGGAGTGCGGCTGGTGAGCCCTTTCCTAGAGTGCGGCTGGTGAGCCCTTTCCTAGAGTGCGGCTGGTGAGCCCTTTCCTAGAGTGCGGCTGGTGAGCCCTTTCCTAGAGTGCGGCTGGTGAGCCCTTTCCTAGAGTGCGGCTGGTGAGCCCTTTCCTAGAGTGCGGCTGGTGAGCCCTTTCCTAGAGTGCGGCTGGTGAGCCCTTTCCTAGAGTGCGGCTGGTGAGCCCTTTCCTAGAGTGCGGCTGGTGAGCCCTTTCCTAGAGTGCGGCTGGTGAGCCCTTTCCTAGAGTGCGGCTGGTGAGCCCTTTCCTAGAGTGCGGCTGGTGAGCCCTTTCCTAGAGTGCGGCTGGTGAGCCCTTTCCTAGAGTGCGGCTGGTGAGCCCTTTCCTGGAGTGCGGCTGGTGAGCCCTTTCCTAGAGTGCGGCTGGTGAGCCCTTTCCTAGAGTGCGGCTGGTGAGCCCTTTCCTAGAGTGCGGCTGGTGAGCCCTTTCCTAGAGTGCGGCTGGTGAGTGGAGTCAAACGTCAAGCCAGCTCCCATCGTCCCATGTTCAGCCTGCACTTCCCCTTTTTTCCATCCCCTCACTCCCTTCCCTCCACCCGGGTCCCTTTTGTCCTTCTCCCCATAGGGCAGGTCGGCCTGCTTCTTTCAGAGTTGGTGGATGTGTGTGTGCCTGCCCATTTAGCACATGTTCGCCTCAACCTGCACTTCCCTCGCTTCCCACCCCCTTTTCCCCTCCTCTCTACAGGCCGGTCTGTTCCTCTCCCAGTTCATGAAAGTGTCCCCCCATGCAGCACATGTTCAAGCTTCGCTTTCCTCCCTCCCTCTTGCCCCTCTTTCCTCCTTGCCCTCACAACAGGTCGGCCTCTTTCTCTCGCAGTTCGTGGGCGTGTGCCCCCCCATGCAGCACATGTTCAAGCTGCACTTCCTCCGCATTGTCTGTGACCACGACCTCTACATCGAGACACCCGGCCGAGGACCCACAGAGAAGTGAGTCTCAGAATGGCTTGTGTTGTGAGGAGTACGGTGCAAGAGTCTCGAGTTGGGGGTTTCGGGTTTTGAGCCGAGATGCAATGCATGATGCAAGTACCCCATTCGGCTGTTTCCCATTGCTGACACCGTTCTCTCTGTGCTCTCTGGTGACGTGGCCTCTAGTCAGTCCCGCACTTCCTCGAACCCCCACCAAGACTATCCATCACCCCTCATGACTTCTGGTGACCACTCATCACCGCACACCACCAGGAACTACCTGACCACAGTGCTGCTCAAGGACCTCTTTGTGAGCCTCGACCACGAGGACCCCAGTCAGCGATCGCTGGTACGCCCTTACATACACTCTATGGCATGTCATGGATGCATCGTGCACTCGCCTTTCCTTGCACACTCTTGAATGCATGCATGATCCTGAGTGCACGCCCTCCATCGAATACGTACTATACTCTAGAGTCAATCCGCAACCTGTCTCAATTCATTCTCCACCCTTCCCACACCTTCCCACACCTTCCCACACCTTCCCACACCTTCCCACCCTCCCAGGCTGCGCGCATGCTGGCATTCCAGGTGGCGAAGCACGAGTACGATGCGCGGTACCAGCAACCCGAGCTGAAGCTGTACATCGCGCAGCTCTACATGCCCATCGTCAACATGATCCTGGACGAGGTCGAAACCTTCAACACACTGGGAGTGATTCAAAGGAGGCAGATCCTCGTGGTGATGCTCACAGTGGTGCGGAATCTGGACAATGAGACGCTTCTCAAGGCGTGGAAGCAGAGCGACGTACGCACGCGCCTCTTCTTCACGCTCCTGCAGCAGGCCCTCGTGCTCTTCCAGGTGAATTCTCAGGTGGTTTTTCAGGTGTTTCGCAGGACTTGCTCAGGTGCTTTACCAGGTGCTTTCTCAGTTCTTTCTCAGGTGTTGCTTCAGGTAGTTGATCTGTGTCCCCCCCCCCCCTCCCTCTCCTCCCCACCCACCCCACCTCCCTGTACCACCCCTTCCCCTCATCACCCACAGCACCCCCCGCAGCTGACAGCTGGCAGCAAACCCCGCCCCACAGGCACCAAATCCAGCCCCGCCACGTCAGCACCCACTGACGCCACGCTGGCAGTGGAGCCTTCACCAATCCCGATGTACTCGGATCGAGTCTCATTGGCAACTAATGATCAGCTGGATGAGATGGCCCGGGCAGATCCCAAGGCCATGCTCGAAAGGGAGCAGATAATCCGAAAGGTTACGGGCGGCGCCGTGTCGGGCGGCAAGGGGTCGACGGTGTCGTTAAGGGATGTGCTCTCGCGGTCGAGAATTCCGCCGAAAGATGCCATGGCGCTGATGAGACAAAACCTGCCGTCCAGCGCTTCTGCGAAGCTGGTTAGTTGGCGTGGGGTCGGGGTAGAGGGTGTGGGGAGAGAGTTTTTGTTTTTTTCAAGGAGCCATGGCCATGCATTCAATGCCCTCACGTTCTTGTATCACAGTCTCAATTCATCCCCTACTTTGTCCCCATCCCCCTTTCCCCCCCTCTTTCCCCACCAGCTAACATCGGAGGCCAGCGTAGCAGCATGGTGTGCGGTGCAGGTGTTGGAGGTGGTGAAGTTCAGCAACATGGCCGCTGATGGACTCGTTGCTACCAAACCCCACTGATTAACCCCTCGCCCCTACCCCTGCTCCCATTGTCGTTCACCTACCAGTTGATATGGGAGGCCAGCGTGGCAGCATGGTGTGCGGTGCAGGTGTTGGAGGTGGTGGAGAAGTTCAGCAACATGGCTGCTGATGGGTCTGTTCCCCCTTACCCTGTCCTCCGTTGCCCCTGTGCCTGTGTCCCCATACAGCTAACATGGGAGGCCAGCGTAGCAGCATGGTGTGCGGTGCAGGTGTTGGAGGTGGTGGAGAAGTTCAGCGACATGGCTGCTGATGGGCTTGTGGCGACTGACTATCAAACCATGGACTGCCTCACCGGGCCTCTCTCCGTCATGCTCGCCCTGCCACAGGTGTGCTTGTTTCACGCCAATCCAACACCACACTCACACTCACACTCACACTCACACTCACACTCGCACTCGCTCACAGACACACACTGTTGCCACTGACTACCAGACCATGGCCTGCCTCACTGGCCCGCTCTCCGTCATGCTTGCCCTGCCGCAGGTGGGTGTGGCGCTGCGTGCTCTTACACCCATCCACTCAGCGCACTTACTCTCATTGGCTCATCCCATTCGGAATCGCTGCTATTTCAGATTGTGCCTGCATTGTTTCTCACTCATGGGCTCAAGCCACTCTGTGTTCGTCTTGTCCCCTGCCCGCCGTATTCCCCTCTCACTCCAACCTCTCATTCCAACCTCTCATTCCAACCTCTCACTCCAACCTCTCACTCCAACCTCTCACTCCAACCTCTCACTCCAACCTCTCACTCCAACCTCTCACTCCAACCTCTCACTCCAACCTCTCACTCCAACCTCTCATATCTATACCTCGTCCAGCCCATGAGCTTCTGGGAGCCCTTCGTCCCGGCCTTTGCTGAAATGCTGCGCCTCCACGGCAAGGCCATGCTGGATGGCCCGCCCTCTGCTGCCCCCTCATGCCCTCCTGTCCTTGCATTCCCGACTTTCCCCCGTCACCCCCCAGCCCATGAGCTTCTGGGAGCCCTTTGTGCCCGCCTTTGCCGAGATGCTGCGCCTGCACGGCAAGGCCATGCTCGACGGCCCACCCTCTTCTGCCACGGCAGACATTGCCGACAGTGGTGCGGGCGGCGCAGCAGCAGCTAAGGGGGGAGACGTGCTGCTGAAGGACCTGTTTGGCAGCCTGCTGCGCCAGATGGCTGTCCGCCCTGAGTTCATCCGCAAGAGGGCTCTGCTCTGCCTGCTGCTGCTGCTGCGCGTGCGTACCCCTGGGCCAGTTTTCCTTATGCTTCCAGACAGGGTTCCGTTGAGTTCTTTTTTGAATGCTCATGTGCTTTTGAAGAATGTGCGAGCAGTTTTCCAAGTGGAAGGTTTGTGTGTCACCCCCGAGTTCATGAGGAAAAGGCCACCGCTCTGCCTTTTCCCGTCCCCCCCCCACTCCTCCCCCTCCTCCTCTCCCCCTCCCTTTCTCCCTCTTCCCGCTTTACTCTGTTCCTCCCACACAGAACGCCCTGCTACACATGAGGGACGTGGAACGTCTCAGAGTCATCCTCACAGTCGCCCTCTCGGAACTCCTCTCCCACACTTGCCTGCTGCACTCGCCCTCGCCCTCCCCAACCAGCAGCCCCGTTTGCTCAACCTTCCCCAATCTCCCCCATTCGTTTTCCCTCAGAACGCCCTGCTGCACATGAGGGACGTGGAGCGTCTCAGAGTCATCCTCACAGTCGCCTTTTCGGAAGTCCTCTCCTGCATACGCCTCCTGCACTCGCCCTCGCCCATACCCCCCATACACCCCCCTTTGCCCAACCTTCCCCGTTCCTGTTTCTCCAGAACGCCCTGCTGCACATGAGGGATGTGGAGCGCCTCAGAGTCATCCTCACAGTCGCCCTCTCAGAAGTCCTCTCCCGCATGCGCCTGCTGCACTCGCCCTCGCCCTCCAACGCCCCCGCCTCTCGCTCCTCCAGTGCTTCTAGTGTTGCCTCTGCTGCTGGTGGTGCCGGTGGGGGCGCTGGGGAACTGGTAGAATCCGCAGAGGTTGAGAAGCTGAGGCTTTCTTTGGAAGAGTTGGGGACGGAGGATAAGTGGTTTCAGCTGCTGGATGAGTGTGGGTTACCGTCGATCTGTCTTGAGATTGTGGTGGAGGAGGATGAAGAGAAGGAGGAGGAGGAGGATGAGGAGGACGAGGAGGAGGAGTATGAGGAGTGGGATGAAGGGGGGAGTGTGATGGTAGGGAGGAGGAGGAAGAGGGAGAGGGACAGGTGGACGTGGTCGAATGTGGAGGAGACTCAGGATATGCTGCTGACCGTGGTGGATGCAGCGTCTCAACACGAGCAGCTGGTGAGTCTTGACTTTAACGTATACAGTTTCCTAGCTGCATTTTCCAAGCTGCTGTTTCTTAGCTGCAGTTTCCTAGCTGCAGTTTCCTAGCTGCAGTTTCCTAGCTGCAGTTTCCTAGCTGCAGTTTCCTAGCTGCAGTTTCCTAGCTGCAGTTTCCTAGCTGCAGTTTCCTAGCTGCAGTTTCCTAGCTGCAGTTTCCTAGCTGCAGTTTCCTAGCTGCAGTTTCCTAGCTGCAGTTTCCTAGCTGCAGTTTCCTAGCTGCAGTTTCCTAGCTGCAGTTTCCTAGCTGCAGTTTCCTAGCTGCAGTTTCCTAGCTGCAGTTTCCAGAACTGTACATCATGTGGTCTCGATACACCGTACATCCCAACCCTGACTCTTCCGCATCTGTCCTCCGCACATTTCACGTCTCATTTCACCACAACTCAGATGGAGGGGCTGAAAACAAGCAACGATAAATACGCCATAGTGGAGAGCTACTACATTTTCGCACAGGCATACGGGCACATGCCTGATCTGTACGTCATGTGGATGTTGCACCACCAACCATTCTTGATCCTTCCCCATATTCCTCCCTGCCTACCCTCTCATCGCATTCCTCGCAGATGGAAGGGCTGAAAACATCCAATGATAAATACGCCATAGTGGAGAGTTACTACATCCTGGCGCAGGCATACGGGCACGTGCCCGATCTGTACATCATGTGGATGCTGCACCTCTGTGACGCGCATCAGGAGATGAACCAGTGGGCCGAGGCTGCACAGTGCGCTGTCTCTGTCGCTGGGATTGTCATCCGGGTAAGGCTAGGGGGTTCTGCCGGGGCTGGGGGATAGATGGATGGGGGGTTCTGCCGGGGCTGGGGGATAGATGGATGGGGGGTTCTGCCGAGGCCGCTCAGTGCGCTGTCTCTGTCGTTGGGATTGTCATTCAGGTAAGTACACCTGTGGCCCAAGGCTTGCTGCCTACCAGGGCTGAGGGTTCGAAGGTCAGGGTTTTACAGCTGTGCGGAGTCAGGGTTTAATGAGTGTTCGCATTTGAGGGTGACGGTGCTCGGGAATACCCCCACCATTCACTTTCCCTTTCCCCTGTTGCTCCTCCTTCCATCCTGTCGTCATTTCAGGGTCTGCAAATCGCGTCAGAGGAACCGGTGTGGGACGAGGAGCACCTGGAGGTGGTCTGGAGCATATGCCCTTTGGCCCGCCACCAGTGGCCATGCAAGTGACGGTGACACCTATACTTCCCCTCTCAATGCGCCTTCCAGGGTCTGCAAATTGCATCACAGGAACCCGTGTGGGATGAGGAACATCTGGAGGTGCTGTGGAGCATATGCCCTTTGGCCCGCCACCAGTGGCGCGCGCGGGCCTTCTCCTCGCAGTCGGGGTTTGGGGCGGCGCGCGTGACGGTGGAGGGGGCGGTGCAGCACGTGCAGAGGGCGAGCAACCTGTTTTACAAGGCGGAGCTTTTCCACTTCTGCGCGCTCATGCTCTCGCTGCTGCTGCCGCTGCACCGCACCCGCCATGACTACAAGCAGGTGGGTGGCTTGTGAGGTGGAAGGAGAGGGTGAGTTTGAGGTGAGTGGGGAGGGGATAGTAGACGGCAGGAAGGCAAGGTGAGGTTGTGAGGGCGGGAAGTAGGGTGATTGCTGGCGTTCCCCATCGGGGCGTGTCTTGGTAATGATGGCGGCACGGGTGACGGTGGGTGGAGGGGGCGGTGCAGCACGTGCAGAGGGCGAGCAACCTGTTTTACAAGGCGGAGCTTTTCCACTTCTGCGCGCTCATGCTCTCGCTGCTGCTGCCGCTGCACCGCACCCGCCATGACTACAAGCAGGTGGGTGGCTTGTGAGGTGGAAGGAGAGGGTGAGTTTGAGGTGAGTGGGGAGGGGATAGTAGACGGCAGGAAGGCAAGGTGAGGTTGTGAGGGCGGGAAGTAGGGTGATTGCTGGCGTTCCCCATCGGGGCGTGTCTTGGTAATGATGGCGGCACGGGTGACGGTGGGTGGAGGGGGCGGTGCAGCACGTGCAGAGGGCGAGCAACCTGTTTTACAAGGCGGAGCTTTTCCACTTCTGCGCGCTCATGCTCTCGCTGCTGCTGCCGCTGCACCGCACCCGCCATGACTACAAGCAGGTGGGTGGCTTGTGAGGTGGAAGGAGAGGGTGAGTTTGAGGTGAGTGGGGAGGGGATAGTAGACGGCAGGAAGGCAAGGTGAGGTTGTGAGGGCGGGAAGTAGGGTGATTGCTGGCGTTCCCCATCGGGGCGTGTCTTGGTAATGATGGCGGCACGGGTGACGGTGGGTGGAGGGGGCGGTGCAGCACGTGCAGAGGGCGAGCAACCTGTTTTACAAGGCGGAGCTTTTCCACTTCTGCGCGCTCATGCTCTCGCTGCTGCTGCCGCTGCACCGCACCCGCCATGACTACAAGCAGGTGGGTGGCTTGTGAGGTGGAAGGAGAGGGTGAGTTTGAGGTGAGTGGGGAGGGGATAGTAGACGGCAGGAAGGCAAGGTGAGGTTGTGAGGGCGGGAAGTAGGGTGATTGCTGGCGTTCCCCATCGGGGCGTGTCTTGGTAATGATGGCGGCACGGGTGACGGTGGGTGGAGGGGGCGGTGCAGCACGTGCAGAGGGCGAGCAACCTGTTTTACAAGGCGGAGCTTTTCCACTTCTGCGCGCTCATGCTCTCGCTGCTGCTGCCGCTGCACCGCACCCGCCATGACTACAAGCAGGTGGGTGGCTTGTGAGGTGGAAGGAGAGGGTGAGTTTGAGGTGAGTGGGGAGGGGATAGTAGACGGCAGGAAGGCAAGGTGAGGTTGTGAGGGCGGGAAGTAGGGTGATTGCTGGCGTTCCCCATCGGGGCGTGTCTTGGTAATGATGGCGGCACGGGTGACGGTGGGTGGAGGGGGCGGTGCAGCACGTGCAGAGGGCGAGCAACCTGTTTTACAAGGCGGAGCTTTTCCACTTCTGCGCGCTCATGCTCTCGCTGCTGCTGCCGCTGCACCGCACGCGCCACGACTACAAGCATGTGCGGGGGGCGTGGGTAGGTAGGCAGTGGGGGAAGAAGAGTGTGAGCAGGCAGTGTGGGCCTGTGAGGGCGGAAACAGGGAGGTTGCTTCTGCTCCACCGCACCCGCCACGACGACAAGCAGGTGTGTGTCTCGGGGGAGGAGGGGGGAGTTGGCCAAGAATGTGGGTGCTCAAAAATCTTCTCCCAGTTGACCAAGACGCACGATAAGATTTTGTCCATGTATCAGCGGAAGACCAGCCTCAGCTGCACCTGAGTGTCCATCCTTACCCTCCTTCCTCCCACCCCTCCCCGTTGTCACGCACCTTCCCTCCGCCCTTTGTGTGCCCAGCTGACCAAGACGCACAACAAGATGGCGTCCATCTATGAGAACGTGGAGCAGCAGGAGAGCAGGGCTGTACTGGTCACATTGTGTTCAACCCTGGCCGCACACCCTCGACTTGGAACACGAACCCCTCCCCACCCTCCCCCTCCCCCCATTCTCCCCCTGCCCAGCTGACCAAGACGCACAACAAGATCGCGTCCATCTATGAGAACGTCGAGCAGCAGGAGACCAGCCCCATCCCCTTCAAGGACGCTTGTTACTATCGAGTCGGCTTCTATGGGGAACGCTTCCGATACATCGATGGCAGGTGAGTGGGTTGACGACATACGAGTGCGTGCGGTGCAGTGTGTGAGCGTGCGGTGCAGTGTGTGAGCGTGTGGTGCAGTGTGTGAGCATGCGGTGCAGTGTGTGAGGGTGCGGTGCAGCGTATGAGTGTGCGGTGCAGCGTATGAGCGGGCGGTGCAGCGTATGGCGTGCGGTGCAGCGTATGAGAAGCTCAAAGCACTCTACGATGCACGCTCACTCGACGGGGGAGCCTTTTTTCAATGCCTGCACTATCCCCGTGCCCTCCCCTTCCTTCTTCCCCTGTGGCTCCTTCCCCCCTCTTCTACTGCAGGGAGTTCATCTGTCGCGAGCCAAGAGACGTGCGCCTGGGAGACACAATGGTGAAAATCAAGGCGCTTCTCAACGCATGCTCGCCCCACAAGGAGCTCCCTCCCCATTCCCGCACTATCCTCACGCCCTTCCTCCTTCCCGCTGCTCCTTCCCCCTCTTCCAACTCAGGGAGTTCATCTATCGGGAGCCAAGAGACGTCCGCCTGGGAGACATAATGGAGAAGCTGAAAGCACTCTATGATGCACGCTCACCCAATGAGGAGCCTCTGAAGTGGACTCGCGTCAAGTGGACCCTGCCGCCCTCAAGCCGCATTCAATACAAGGGGCCACCTTTTCACGCCGGCACCCCCCCCATTCCCATCCCTCTCTACTCTCCCCGCACTGCCCTCCCCGTCCCTCCCTCCAACGCAGGGAGTTCATATACCGCGAGCCACGAGACGTGCGGCTGGGAGACATAATGGAGAAGCTCAAAGCACTCTACGATGCACGCTCACTTGACGAGGAGCCTCTGCAAATCATCCAGGACTCCCGCCAGGTGGACCCTGCCGCCCTCAAGCCGAACCTCGTCTACATGCAGATCACGGCCGTCGAACCTGTGGTAGGTGCGGGGGAGGATCGGTGGCTTGGCAGACCTCTCGAGCCACCCATTGCTGGCACTCCGACGTTCAGTTGTTTCTTTTTTGACACGCCGTTTACGCCGAATGGGAAGCAGCAGGGTCGGATGGAGGATCAGTGGAAGAGACGAACGCTGCTGTACACGCAGAGCACGCTCCCGAGCCTGATTAGCCGGCAGCCGGTGGTTCGGTCGGAGGTTCGGGAGTACTCTCCGATCCAGTGCGCTGTGGAGATTATCGAATCTCGGTCGTTTGCACTAGAGGCCGAAATGGCCAGCCAGTTGGGAGATTGTGGGGCGGCAGGGGCGGCAGGAGGGCCAGCTGGAAAGAAGGACCCGGCGGCGGTTGTAGCGGCAGCAATGGCAGCAGGTTCGGGCCCGCTACAGCTGCCGCGGTTACAAACGCTGCAGCGGTTACTGCAGGGGAGTGTGGCACTGCAGGTTAACAGTGGTGTGTTGGGAGTGTGTATGGCGTTTTACCAGGCGAATCCCCAGGGGGCAAACCCGAGGGCCAAGGATCCTGAGAAATTACAGCCGTCGGAATTGGAGATGTTGACGGCTGCGATCGTGCGGTTCGTGGTGGTGTGTAAGCGGGCGGTGGTGGTGCATGGGAGGGCGGTGACTGAAGAGGATAGGGATTTCCAGGAGCAGCTGGAGCAGAGTTTAGAAGACCTGGAAAAGGAGATTTCAGCTTTCATTCCAGGCTTGAGGAAACGAGCGTCGGCTTACTGAGATCAAGTATTTATTTTGTCGTACGCGTTGGCTAACCCTAGGCCCGGCCGTACTGCCAAGCTAGTTATTTCAATAATGACACCTAGAAAGCTATTAATTTGTTTTATCCAAGCATCATGAGCAGACCATGCAGCAAGTGCATGGGAAACATTCTCTAGAGATGAAATCTATGGGTGCATTGCAGTGTACTGGGTTTTCAGTGTGGTGGTGGACCACGAAGATATTTTTGCACAGCGACGCACGTGATTCACGCGTGGCAGGTCACTCCCATTCAACCGAACCTAACCTGACTCAGCATCCGAACTCACATATCAACGAGCACGGGTAGCCTGTTAAAAGCTTCTTCGTCTGAAAGCTATAAGAACAACCAACCGCACTGCGATGATATTTTTCACCTCCGATTGCGCACGCGTCTTGCTCAACAGCACTGCCGATTCTTCATCACCTTCAAGCCCATATAACCTGACGCTGAAACCACACAAATTGCTTTTCATCCAGCACTTCTGCTCGGACTTGCATAACTTGTTTTCGGTGCTTCTGCTGCCTTCTGTTACCTGCTGAAGGCTCGAAGCAGCGATTTTCACCAGCCGTGTCACGATCTACTCACTCAGTTAATATCTGAATCCTTTCGCGATGGCTTTCCTTCGGGGGATCGGGAACGTGCTGAGGAGATCAGCCACACAAGGCGGCGCCAATGACGCGCTCGCCGCCTTCCACGCGCCGCAGCCGCACTTATCGCTGCTCCCCGCCGCCATGTCGCAAGCCGTGCGGTTCATGTCCGGCAACAAGCTCTTCATCGGAGGTGCGTCACCACTTTCGCCACCACGTTCGTGGGCACTTTCATTACCGCTTTCGATCGCTCTTTCGTGACCCACTCGTTCGTCCGTTTTGTGGGATCCTTTGAATCTACAGTGCTGCGGATGTCTCTGTCTTTTCAAGAGTATTGGGAATGAGTTACGTCACCCATAACCCCTGGGGAGCACGCCGTTTATCAGAAGTTCGTTCCTCGTTTCCAGTTTCCCTCTCCGTCTCCGTTTGTCATCAGTCACGTGGATCTGTTTCCCTCGTCGAGTGTAATAGATCCGTTGAAGCCAACGGCCTTGCGTCGCGTTTAGATCTGTCGCGTGCCCAAATCCAGAAATGATTCGCGCAGCTCATCGCGTCCACGTAGCTCACGGCGAGGGATGTGATTGTCGCAAGCCAGATCCGAAAGCAGAGAGCCTCTTTGGATTCTTTTCAAGATTCTTGCCTCCCGTCTGATCTGCGATGCTTAACCGATGCGATGGTTTGCCTTGGTGTGTACGGTTCTCGTGCGCTATGACTTTTGAGTCGACTCAAAAGACACCTTGGTGTGTACGGTTCTCGTGCGCTATGACTTTTGAGTCGACTCAAAAGTCACCTTGGTGTGTACGGTTCTCGTGCGCTATGTAACTTCATAATGGTCTCCTTCCCCTTACCCATATGCCTCCCGTGCGATCCGTGAAATCTGTGCGATCCGTCCGATCCGTGCGATCCGTTTCGATCCGGTCGATCCATTGGGCAGGGCTCGCGTGGGAGGCCGACGAGAAGGTCCTGGAGGACGCCTTCTCCCCCTTCGGAACCGTCGAAGAAGGTGCGCCTGCTCCCTTCGCTGCATTTTCGCCGTTCTCTTGCCGCTCTCCGCCCTCCGCCCTCCGTTCTCCGCGATCCGCCCTCCGCCCTCCACTTCCCGCCTTCCGTCTTCCGCGATCCGGATCGCTATGAGTCGTCCAGCTTCCCGTGTGCGAGTCATTCATTTTTTTCTTACGAAAACCACCGCTTATACCCCTGCCCCGTCCCCCGTCCCCTGTCCCCCTTCCCCTGCCCCCCTCTTACCTCCCTCTTCCCTCCTCGGCCCCTCGTCCCTCGTCCAACATTGACGTCCTTTTTTTCGTTTTCAGCTCTCTTTCTCTCGCGCGTTTTTGGCTTGAATGATTTGACTTCAAAAACCCCTGCCTGCGTCCCCGTTTCTCCTCCTTGCGCTCTCATCCACTGTCGTTCCCCTCCCCCCACCTCGACGTCCGCAGCGAAGGTGATCAGCTATCGGTGCACTCAACTTACACGCCCATTTCCCCATCCCTTTGTTTCTTCCCCCCAACCCACCCCTCACCTCCACGCGCGCAGCCAAGGTGATCCGGGATCGGTTCACGGGTCGGTCGCGCGGCTTCGGGTTCGTGAGCTTTGCAAATGACGAGGAGGCTGCCAGCGCGCTCGAGGGCGTCAACGGCAAGGTGAGATGAGAGGCGGGCAGCGGGTGAGGGGAGGGGGGGGAGGGGGGAGAGAAAGAGAGGGGGGTTGGGGGGTTTGGAGAAAGGGAGGTGGTGGGGTTTGGGAAGGGGTGTTGACGGCAAGGTGAGGAGGAGGGCGCTAACAGGTGAGGAGGAGGGCGCTAACAGGTGAGGGAAAGGGATTAAGGATGAAATGAGCCATTGTGGGTGCAAGAAAATAACGAGTGTAAGAGGCTAAACGTGAGAGGAACTTAAGGTGGCCACAGGTTTCAATCCATTTGGTCAAGAAAATCTGGGCTGGAGAAGATTCTATCCCCCTCCCGCGCCCTGTATCCCCCCCTTCCCCCCCCCCCCTAAACCTCACCCCGCCCATCCCTTACATAGATCCTCTCCCCCCCTCTCTTAACCATTTAGCCGTCCTGTTCAGTAGCTGAGTAGAAAGGCATTGCGCGTTGACTACGCCACCAGCAGGCCAGAGGGTGCGAGAGGCCCTTAACTCCTTCCCTTCCTGCCTTTCCTCCCCTCACACCACCCCCACTCCACCTTGTTACCTTTCAACCCTCACAGGAGCTGAGTGGAAGGACAGTGCGTGTTGACTATGCGTCCAACAGGACAGAGGGCGGCGGTGGGGGGAGAGGAGGCGGCAGGGGGGGATATGGCGGCGGTGGGTATGGGGGTGGAGGAGGGAGGTACAGTGGTGGTGGTGGCGGTGGTGGGTACGGGGGAGGAGGTGGTGGGTACGGCGGTGGGAGGTATGGGGAGGGAGCAGGTTACCCTGGTGGGGGTGGGTCTCAAGGCGGCTATGAGCAATAGAGGGGATGGAGTGTATTTTGCTAAAAGGCTTGTTTTTGGCTTGGTCTGAATTAGCCTTGGCATTGCTCCACTCTAGTTTGCCTACTAGCCTCCATACTGAATTGTCCTAGTGATTCAGAATAAGTACAACCTCCCCCGCTTGTCTAGCTTGGCATTCTAGGAGTGCTCGTCCAGATGTTCGCCTGTGCAGGCTAAGGTATCATTTTTAATGAAATATAGCCAATCAATGATGTATGTAGAGTATTGCAAGATTATGTGATAGTGATACCAGATTTACAATTACTAGAAAGAGCGTCAGTAATTAGTTGAACCAATTTCAAAACTCCACATAATGCGTACAGAGTTACAAGTCCCATACGAGCTCGAGCAGCAGTTTCGCTGCGATTCATGTTACAGCCATGCGTGTACTACTCGTCTCGCCACCAATTCTTCCTCCACCGTACAACTGCGCTCCTCCCATACATCGTCCCCCCTCCTCACCCCTCCACTGTCCTGCACCTCCTCCCTTTGTCGTCATCGGTTATTCACCGACTCCGTCGGTTCTCCTCCCTTTCCCTGCCGCGAGTTGTCCCTCCCTGCGACGTCGCACGCGTCGCATGGCGTGCGAGGATTTGAGTCGTAGCCAGGAATCGCCTGCCGCCACGACGGTCGCGGCGGGCGCGGGAGCGGCGGAGCAGGGCGGGGAGCAGCGGCGGCAAAAGCTATGGGAGATGTACGATCGGATGAGAGCGAAGCTGTTTCCCGACGTAAGCGCTGAACCGGGTGATTAGGAGAAGCTCTGTGACATGTCCGATCGGATGAACGATAAGTTCTTGAACAACTTAACCTTGTGTTTGAGATGGTCGTTCTCGAACGACTTAACCTTGTGCTAGAGATGGTCGTGACTGAGCTGCACCTGCTGCTATAACTACCCTCTCACTTGTTCCCCCCATTCTCCTCTCCCCGCTCCCCCCATTCTTCTTCCTCCCCCCTTCAGGTTCCTGAGATGAGCGCGACTGCCGCACCAGCTGCTGCCGCCCCCTCACCAGCTCCCCCCTCCCTCGTTTCGCCCCACTTTCTCCCCCCCTGATCCCGTTTTCTTCCCCCTTCCCCCCGCCAGGTGCCCGAGATGAGTGTGACTGACCTGCACCGGCTGCTGCTGGCGCAGCAGGCAGCAGGTGGGGGAGAGGGATTGGGGACGAACGGGGAGGCGGATGGTGGAGGGGCTGGGTTGAACGTGGGGAGAGGGCAAGTGGGAGGAGGGGAAGTGGGGGGAGGGGAAGTGGGGGGAGGGAGATGCAGTGGGCGGGGCGGGCGGCGGGTGGTGGTGGTGGATACGCGCACAGAGGAGGAGGCAGCAGTGTCGATGATTCCGGGCGGCACACTCAAGCAGAGCGACTTTGAGCGGCAGATGGGACGATTCAGCGACCATCAAGTCGTGTGCTACTGGTGAGAAGGTGGGATGCAGACGGGTGCTGAGGGGTGCAGAGGAATACAGGGGGGTCCAGGGTGGCGCGCAGGAGCTAGGGAGGAGGGAGGGGTGGTAAGAGTGGAAGGAGGTGTGAGAGGTATGGGCGGTGCGAATAATTCTTCACGGCATGCACTCATTCCTCCTCCATCCCTACTGCATGTTCACGGCCAACCTGAAGAGGTCCACTCATCTGCTCGCAATACCCCTTCTCCCTCCTCTCTTCCCTCCCCTCTCAAATCCTCTCCCTCTCCTCCTCTCTTCTCCTCCCCTCCTCTCTCTCTCCCTCCCAGCACCATAGGCTATCGCAGTGGCAACTATGCGCGCATGCTGCGCTCGCACCACAGCATGCACGCCTCCAACCTTAGGGGCTCCATCCTCGCATGGACCCACCACGGCCTCCCCCTCACCTCCCTCTATCACCCTGAAACTGGCTCTGGCCCGCTCCCCCTCCCTCATCACGCCAACACTAGCGCCAACACCAGCATTGACACCAGCACCTCAAATGAGGCAACAGCCCAGCGTCAGGCAATCACCGATCAGGAAGCATCAAGAGAGGGAGCAACGGGCTCTGGTGCGGCCTCGGTGTTGCCAGTGCTTCCCTTGGGAGCTACCACGCGGGTGCATGTGTACTCGCCCAAGTACGAGCTGCACGCAGATGGGTACCATCCAGTGAGTTGTCACTCATGAGAACATGCTTTTTGTGGGAAAACATGCTGGGTTTATGCCTGAGGTGACTGATGTTGAATGTTTGGTTATTGCTTCTGTACGCAGGTGCACTTTGGGAGTGGTGTGCCATGGGTGTCGGTCATTTGGAGTGACATCAGTATGAGGGTGCCAAAATGGCTCCGTTCCATTACCAATCCGACTGATTCGTCTGTAGATAAATAAAATGCACATTGGCAAAAAAAACCCTTGTAGGTGGTCTCGTTTTATATATAGAATTTCAGTCTCAGCATGATACCTGCGCTGTGTTATCCTCGAATACTAAGCAGCGCTCCTACCGTTCACTAGGTGCTCCAAATGCAATGACATAAGATTCTATTCTCATACACATATAAATAGTTTCTTGGCTCAACTTGTGCAAACGGTGTAGGATGAGCCAGCGTAGCACAAACGAATACGAAAACGAGCTTTCGGGACTGCCACCTCACATCGCGAAAACCTTCGCCGCACGGCACAGAGCACTGGTCACTCCCCACACGACAACGCTCGCGACAATCGAAACAAGATTCCCCTCCCCGCGCGGAGTGTGCGCGGAATTTTGCGCAGAGTTCGCGCAGAACTTCCGCATTGCGGGGAAGTCTGGCGGGTAGCATCGAAGTGAAGGTGGCGCGGCATAATTTCAAGTTGAAGACTGATCCGTTGCTCCCATAATTTCTGACAAATCTGCTGAGAAAAGCATAGGATGTCCTTAGTATCGCCTTTTTTACCCGAGAAAATATCGCTTTAGTGTGCTCAAATGGCATCTATCGCTATCGTCTCGGGTTCCGTGTTACCAAGAATCGATGGCTTGGAGGGATCCTTGCTTGAACGGGTGCGAGATCGGACGGTCTCTGCATCTCTTCATCATCCACACCGTGTAGATGCACCGTCAGATCGTCCCGCGTCTACCTGCCATTCGGCAAATCAGCATCCGGCATTCCCATTGGACCGTCTGCCCGACGACGTGCTCTCATTGGTCCTCCAGCATCTCTCTCGCAACTCCCTCGCGCACGCCTTCGTCTGCAAGCGCTGGTTCCGCCTCACGTGCCTTGCGCGCGTCTACCTAAAAGTTTCGCGTGCCGTGCAGTCCGCGCAGCTTCTCTCCGCCGTTGACACATTCCCGACATTGTCACAGCTCGATATAGCGGAGAACACCGTTCCGCACGCGACAGACGAACTTCTGCGCGGAATTTCCGCGCGCTGCCCCAATCTCACGCGCCTGCTCATCGGGTACCAGTTCCGAGCGCGCTTCTCCCCCGCGGGGCTCTCCGCGCTCTTCCGCGGGTGCGCGCGCCTGCAGCAGCTCCGCCTGTTTTCCCTCAGCGGAATCTCTGCTCTTCCCGCATCCCTCACGCTCCTTTCTCAGCTAGAAGTTCTCGAGTTAGGTGACGACCCGGCCTGGCGCGGATTGGATACGTTCGCTAATCTAATCGAATCCGATGTAAGCTTAGATTCGTTAAGCTGTATGAGGAAGCTGGTTGTCAGCAGTCGCTGCTTTGAGAGCCTGCCGTGGAGCATCGGGGAGCTAACGCGTTTGGAGCATTTAGAAATTCATTCAGAGGTCCTTAGTTCGCTGCCCGGCAGTTTCGGGCAGCTGGGGTCGCTGGCAGTTCTGAAGCTCGAGGCCAAGTGTTTGGAGGAGCTGCCCGAGAGCCTGGGCAGGTTGAAAAATCTGCAGCGAATGTGGCTGACAAACTGCGAGAGTCTGTCCAAACTTCCCGACTCGTTCGGGCAGCTTTCCAGCCTATCCTTTCTCAGCATTCACCTCTGCGACCGGCTCCGGTCACTCCCAGAAAGTTTCAGCTTCCTGCCCGCTTTGGAAACCCTAAAACTACACGAGCTTCCGAGCCTGCGCACGCTGCCCGAACTCTTCGGGCACCTGCCGAAGCTGAGAGTCCTCGACATGAGCACATGCGGGGTGGTGCGTCTCCCCCTCTCCCTCTACCTCCTAGCCCGCTTGGAACGACTCAGCGTAGCAGCTTTCCCGGACCTCCCCCACGTGCCCCCCCTCACTGCGCAACTCCTTGTTCCGCCGCCCCGCCCGCCCCACCAATCCCTCCCGCCTGGCGCCTCCTCTGCATCGCCTGCGTCTCCCTCCCATTCCAATGCGTCTGCGTCTGTTGCTGGCGGGGGTATCCCTGGGATATCCGTCTCCGTCCCCCGTGAGAATGTTGGTCACGAGCAGGTGCCGGGTCAACAGAGGAGGGCGCGGCCTGTTGGATTTTGTACTGGGTTGGGTGGGCGCATACGGGACGATGAGGAGGAGGAGGAGCAGGAGAAGGGGGAAGATGGGGAGGGGGAAGATGAGGAGGAAGAGAGAGAGGACGAAATGCAGCAGGGGGAGCAGCAGCAGCAGCAGCAGCAGCAGCAAGAAGGGGAGAGGCTGTGGGAAGGGCAGAGAGAGCAGGAGGGTTATTCGGCTGGAAACGGTTCACGCTGGGGAGTGGGGAGGCACTTTCCTGCATCCTCGTTAGGGCTCTCCTCGTTAGTGATACTAGAGATGACGGACCACACTGGAATTCTTGCCCTGCCCGAAGATCTAGGCTGCCTGCCCAAGCTGGAGCTTCTCAGGCTGGTCAGACTGGACAATTTCACGGTCCTGCCCGATTCGCTCGGGCAGTTGAAATCCCTGCGCAAGCTTATGCTTTCTCAGCTGCCCAATCTAGAGTATCTCCCTGCCTCCCTCCCACAACTGCCATCCCTCGAACTGCTGGTGATTCACCAATGCGCCAACCTGGCATCCCTGCCACGTGGCACAATCTCAGGCCTTAGAAACCTGTCCAAGGTGGCACTTATTGAGTGCACGAGCTTGTGCAGTTTGGATAGCGAAGAGGGGAAGGCCAGCAGGGGCGGCACAGACACGCTGCGTCATGTGCTTGTCTTTGATTGCGGCATGAAGTCCCTTCCACCGTCTCTTCTACATGTGGAGTCGTTACAGACTGTACACTTTCGAAACGGGGGGTGGTTTGGTTTTCCGGTGTTTTCATTGCCGGAGGTGTACGGGTTTTCTAGGTATTCCTGCGAGAGCGTGCAAGGAGGGTTTGTTTATTCTAGGAACTATAGCTACCCCTGCGTGCATTGCCGTGATTTTGTGTTAGCTACATGGGATGCATGATGGTATATAGTTAGTAGAAATGTCATTCATCCATTGGCGAATGAGTTGTTCTAATATCGTACCACACGTCTACTTGTACCAGGGATTCAGTATGTGCTTTCGAGCGAAACGTTTGAGTGAATCCAGTCCCCCCCACAGCTCGCGCGCGTCACCCTTTCCCCAGAATCAAGGCAAGGGCAAGGCGTAGATTACAGGAGGAGGCACCCTCCCTCTTGGCGTAGATTATGAGGCACCCACCCACTCATCTAGTAGCCGATTTTCTCACTTGCTGTATCCCCGCCATGGCATTCCTCACCGCCAACATCAACGCTTTCTTCTCGCAATCCTCACCGTCCGATTCGCTTTCCTCCCACGACGAGCCGCATGTCGTTCCGTTCCCCGTGGACGATCTTCCAGACGACGTTCTCGCGGTGGTGCTTCGCCTCGTCTCGCGTCGCTCGATCCACCTCGCCTTGCAGACGAATCTCGTCTGCAAACGCTGGTGCCGCCTCCTCCGCCTCTCGCTCTCCCATGTGACAATAACGAGGGAAATTACCCCCGGTGACCTCTTGTGCGCTTTAAGAACTTTCCCTTCAATCACGTTCCTAGATATTGCCGAAAATGCTCTCATGCCACCTGTCGATTCCCCAATCCTTCAAGACGACCTGGTCCGTCGGATCTCTGACACGTGTCCTCATTTGAAGAGCTTCGCTCTCGCTCACCAATCTCGCGCGGAGGGCCGAGTCTCCGCCCAAGGGCTCTCCGTGCTCTTCCGCGGATGCCCGCGCCTGGAGTCGTTGCGCCTGCTTTCCCTCAGCGCTATCCCCGCGCTTCCCCGCGACGTCTCCCGCCTCACCAACCTCTCCGCGCTCGAATTGGGGGACAGTGGCGCATGGTGCTGGGGGGAAGGCGGAAAGCTTGCGCTGGCGGAGGGGGAAGGGGGAGTGGAAGGCGGAATGGGAGGGTGCATGGGAGCGGAGGAGGGGAGGCAGGCGGAGTGGGAAAACCCTAGGCTTGCCCGGGAAGGTAGCAGAAGCAGCCTGGGATTCATCAGCGCTCGGATAAGGAGGCAGAGGGATTCGTCTCTAACTTCGCTGACCACATGCGCTTCACACTTACAGTGTTTAAGTGCGCTCACTCACCTAAGAGTCAACAGCTGGTGCTTGCAGGCGCTGCCTGCTTCCCTTGGCGCACTGAAGATGCTGAGCCACTTGGAGATCACCTCGGAAAAGGTTTCTGTCCTGCCCGAGGAGATCTGTGACCTGCCCCTGCTACAAGTGCTCTGTCTTAGACTGAGGAAATTGAGTCAGCTGCCCGAGAGGATGGGCAGCTTGGCCAGCCTTCAGCAGCTGCGGTTGAGGGACTGCACGTGTTTGGTGTCACTGCCCGACTCTTTCAGGCAGCTCAGAATAAAACTTCTGGAGCTTCATAACTGCGCATCTCTCACCGCCCTTCCCGATAATTTTGGGTCGCTCTCCCAACTGCAGACCCTTCGCATGATCTGGGTGTATCATTTGTCCAACCTGCCCGACTCCTTCGGGCAGCTCTCAAATCTCCGTTTTCTGGATCTGGAGCAGTGCACAGCTCTTCGAGACCTGCCCGGCCCGGTCGACTCCCCTTGCCAAGGCCAGACATGGCTGCCCGCTCTCGAAAGCCTTCGTCTGGTGGGACTCCGCCATCTGGACTCTCTCCCTCCACTCGGGCAGCTGAAAAAACTTCGCAGGCTGACCGTGTCTCTTCTGTGTAAGCTTGAGGAGCTTCCTCCGTCCCTATCCCGGCTCTCCAACCTGCAAACACTGGTCATCCATGGCTGCTCGCAGATCAAATCCCTCCCACACAATATCCCCTCCGCCCTGTCCTCTCTCTCCTCCCTCGCGATTCTCTCCTGCTGCAGCATTCAAGATCTCGATCTTCTTTCGTGCTGCTATGGTGCACTGGAGGCATGTAGTGTGGGTGGGGTGGAGGGGAGGGTGACTAGTGCAGCGGTTAAGTGTGATGGGATACGGTGTGGTAATGTGGAGGGGGATTCGCCGCGTGAAGCTGAAAGGAAGCTGCACATGCAAACGGGCACACTAGCAGATGGTTCTAGCAGCTGCTGCACCTCTGTGCAGCCCAGAAGGGGATAAAAAACCTCGTATCTTCCTTGTCAACTCAACTTTGTTCCGCCGTGATTTCCTCTAGATCTGACGCCAAGGCACGCCGGGCCTGTGACGCCAGCCCGCCTATTCCGACGTATCTTCCTTGCCTCTCGAGCGTGTATATTATTGACACGGGCGTAAAGGTGCTGCCAGATTCGCTGTGGCTGCTGCCATCAGTTCAGTATGTGCACCACTTCAATCACAAGTGGATGAGCATTAAGGTCAGTGGTAAGCCTCCCAAGGAGTACCGGTTTGAAAAGAAGTCTTGTAGGAATGACAGAGAGGGGAGGGCGTATGTGAGAAGTGGGTATGAAGGAGATCCGTGTGCTTGTTGCTTTTCAGAGGGAGCCATGAGCTATGGCTAGCATACGGTATGTGAATTAATTTATTGTGTTCTGATTTCTCGTGTGGTGGACCATTGGCTAGCATAGATCAACCCAAAATCACAAGAGGAGGGGTATGTCTGTACATTAACCTATACATACATGGTACAATTATCTCCGGTCGTGTCTCACAACAAGCGGGCTATTTTCTTCCACCTCCCCAACACACCACCCATACACTAACCTGCATAAATCCCATGCAAGTCCAGCCAACCAAGTGCAAGCACCCTGCAGCACTGAACAAACCCCCCCATCAGACACACAGCCATATGCAGAAATCCTTCCACCACCTGCATAAGCACAAAGAGAGTTTTGACTCGCAGCAGCAATTGCATTCTCCCCGACCAGCCACCGGGAAGGCAGTCTAGCAGCCAAGGTTCGGCCTCCACACCCACCCCCTCCAACTCCAGCGGCTGCAGTTGGGGCAGCTGCCTGCTGGATAAGTCCAGGAGATTTTCCAGATTTCCAAGGCAATGCAGGGTGAGCGTGTGCAGGGCAGGGAAGGAGAAGTTTCCTGGGAGCGAGGAGATACGCGGGCAGTAGGAAACTTCTAGTACGGTGAGGGAAACTAGGCCTGGGTGTTGCTCTGTGCCGTTTGCTGCAGAATCAAAGACAGGGGTAGCGGTAGATGCGCTCGCAGGGGCAGCAGGAGGGGCAGAGGCAGCAGGAGGGGCAGGGGCAGCAGGAGGGGCAGAGGCAGCAGGAGGGGCAGAGGCAGCAGGAGGGGCAGAGGCAGCGGGAAAGTTAGGAGCAGACACAGGGCCAGCAGAAGGCGCAGAGGCAGCAGAGGCAGCAGCAGGGTCAGCAGAAGGCCCAGATGCAGCAGCATATAGGTGAGAGAACACCAGCAGAGCAGCAGCAAGCAGCATGGCAGGATAGAGCCACGCACTGGGCAGCAGAGACATCAGCAGCAGCACCATGACAAGAAGCAGCGACGCGGCGTTGACAAAAGCACTGCCACTTCTTGCGCCGGTGGCAGCGAGCGTGGCAGCAGAGGACGGTTCTATCCGGTCTCGCATGGTGAGAAGCGGTTGGGAGATGAGCACCATAACGGCAAAGAGTGCAACAGTGCAGAGCGCACCGATGACCGCCTTGTCAGCCAGACTGCACGATTCCAACCCACTTCCGGAGCCTTCAGGAGGGTTTGGAGAGGTTAGCGGCTTCAGAGACTCTATTTCGCAGCATGACTCGATATGAAGGGACTCTAAACGAGTCAGCTTGTACAGGGAGGGAGGAAGCTCCTGTAGTTGATAACAGTTGGTTAGGCTCAGCTTTTCCAGGCATGATGAAGGGTTGCTTTCACACAATCTCTCAGGCAGATGCTGCAGCGTGGGCAGGTCCATCTCGAGCGCTTTTAACCGGGGTAAATTACCCAGGCTTTCGGGCAGAGCCCGGATATTATCAAGGGAGAGGAGCTTTAGGGTTTCCAGATGGGACAAGGCGCCGATGTGGTGAGGGAGTGAGGTGAGGGAGGAGCAGGAGGAGATGGAGAGGGAGGAGAGAGGGAGGAAGCAGATGCTCTCTGGGAGAATCCCGAGGGAATCGCAGGCGTGGAGGGAGAGAGACTGTAGCTGAGTCAGCCCCGCCATAACATTTTCGGGCAGGCTTTGTAAATTCTCTGATTGGATGGAAAGGGTTTTCAGCCCGGTCAGCAGTTGGAGGGATTCCGGAAGGCACTCGAGCCCGTCCAGCTCGATTTCTAGGGTTTCCAGCCGAGCCAAGTCGCCGATCGCGTCGGGAAGCTCTGTGACGGTTCTCGATAACACACTACTGATACTCAATTTGCGGAGGTTCCTCAGGAGACCCACGCACTCTCCCAGACCCTGGAAACTCGCTCCCTCACTGACCCGCAATTCCCGCAGCTGCTGCAGCGCGCCGATGCTCTCGGGCGGCGAAACGAGCTCCTGTAACGAGTCTTTGCCAGAATGAGTATGAGCGCACACGTGGAGGGTTTGGAGATCTGTCAGGAGCGAGATTGACGCCGGGAGATGCGGGAAGCCGGCGGTGGTGAGCAGGCGGAGTTCTCTAAGCTTGCGACATCCACGGAAGAGCGACGCGAGGCCGTCTACTGTAACCGCCATGCGAAGCTGATGCTCCACTGTTAGATGGCTCAGGCTCGGACACGTGGCGGCCAGACATTGGAAGAGCGCGTCGCCGTCGGCGAATAAGATGGAGAACTCGCCCAGCGACACGTGCGTGAGGGTGGGGAAGCGGCGCAGCGCGGACAGGAGGCGCGGGAGCGGGAGCCACGCAAGCTGCGCGTTGCGGTAGTGCTCGGGATTATGTATCTCAACGATAAAATGGGAGAGCGCGGCCGTGGCGAGGCGGAGCCAGCGCTTGGAAACGAGCGCGTGGCGGAAGGAGGTCTGCGCGAGCGAGCGGAGGATGAGCGCGAGAACGTCTTCGGGGAGGCGCTCCACGGGGAAGGGCGGATCGACGCGCGCGGGTGAAACCATGGCTTTGAGGCGGCTAAGGAAAGGAACTAACGCCATCGTTGGATGTACGAGCAGCTATGTTGCTCTGGGTAGTCTGGTCTGGAGGAAAGCCATTGTCTGTACTACATGGATCATGGGGAATCGTGTTGGGGAGGGGTTGGTTGGAACTATTGCGATGGAAAAATCTGGGAAAGCTTTGGGATTGGAGCCTCCAATTTGGAGGTGGCTTGGCACGCAGTGCCACCAACTTGTTGAAGTTGGTGAAAGAGAGAGAACAAATTCCATTGGGGACGCGAATGGACAGGGTTGACTCGAGTCAAATCTAGTCTTTTTGTTTCGCGTCTCGACCCTCCCATTCTGTCTGTTATAAATTGTCAAACTGATTTGCGCGGAAAACTAATAACGAATCAATGACAATATGGAGTGACGATACAACGAATGACGCGAGTGCATATACCACCACGAATAGTCATGCTTTCTGATTTGTGGCTGGCCTTTCTTGCATATAAGTACACTTGTGTGGCTCTTAAGTTTCAGAAGCTAAGTCTACTATAACGAAAATGAATGTGGCCCGCAAAACGTGCCATCAAGATACTGCCAAGTTTCGTTGACCACGAGTTTGTCTCGGTGCAGCGCTTCGTGAATCATCAGCCGATCATTTGTCTCCCTAGAGGTGAACACGTGTAACGAACAAGTGCCACGCAAATCCACAACACACACAACAGCAGGTTGAGAGCGGTAACCTGCATGGCATGCCTGAAACCACTAACAGCCCGCGACATCCAGCAAGCTAAAATCACCCAAACCAAACACTCCAGTGGCAAACGTTTCTTGCAAGGCAAGATGGTCCCCGCCATCAAACCTCCGGAGATAGTTGTCAGAAACTCACTGGTGGTGCAATATTGGAATGCAGTATAGCAGTGCTTGCGTGTAGTTCTGAACAGACAACCCCGCCACGCTCCAGGGCGGTGGCAGATCCATCCGCGCTTTACCCTTTCCACCGTTCGCCGTTCTCCTGATCAGCGACGTCTCTAAACATCCATACGATGGCGTTACTACTCCCTTTCCTTACTACGGCTACTACTACTACTAGCCGCATGAATGCCATCATGGATTCACCCGCGCGCGCCGATCCGCCCTTCCCCGTGGAGCGCCTCCCCGACGACGCTCTCGCGCTCGTCTTCCGCTCGCTCGCGCGGACCTCCTTCCGCCACGCGCTCGTTTCCAAGCGCTGGCTCCGCCTCGCCACGGCCGCGCTCTCCCACTTGACCATTCGGCATCGGGATTTGTCGACGCAAGAAATATGCGATTCCGAGCACTCCCGCAACGCGCAGCTCGCGTGGCTCCCGCTTCCGCGCCTTCTTTCCGCGCTGCGCCGCTTCCCCACCCTCACGCACGTGTCGCTGGGCGAATTTTCCATCATATCCGCCGACGGCGATGCGCTCTTCCAACGTCTGGCCGCCACGTGTCCATTCCTGAGACATCTAACGGTCGAGCATCAGTTTCGCGTGGCGGTTACTGTAGACGGCCTCGCGTCGCTCTTCCGTGGATGCTGCAAGCTCAGGGAACTCCGGCTGCTCACCACCAACGGCCTCCCGCATCTCCCGCCGTCCGTCTCGCTCCTCACGGACCTCCAAACCCTCCACGTGTGCTCTCATCCTCACTATGGCGATGACTCGTTACAGGAGCTCATTCCGCGCGAGAGCATCGGCGCGCTGCAGCAGCTGCGGGAGTTGCGGATCCGCGCGGGAGCGAGTTTCCAGGGTCTGGGGGAGTGCGTGGGTCTCCTGAGGAACCTCCGCAAGCTGAGTATCAGCAACTTCCTCTCGGAAGCTGTCACGAGTCTTCCTCACGCGATCTGCGACTTGGCTCGTCTGGAAAGCTTGGAAATCGAGCTGGACGGGCTCGAGTGCATTCCGGAATCCTTCCAACTGCTGACCGGACTGAAATCCCTCTCTCTCCAATCCAAACGTCTGCAGCGCCTGCCCGGAAGCGTTATGGCGGGGCTGACGGAGCTGCAGTCTCTTGCCCTCCACGCCTGCGATTCCCTCGGGATTCTCCCGGAGAGCATCTGCTTCCTCCCTCTCTCCTCCCTCTCCATCTCCTCCTGCTCCTCCCTCATCTCACTCCCACACCAGATCGGCGCCTTGTCCCATCTGGAAACCTTAAAGCTCCTCTCCCTTGATAATATCCGGGTTCTGCCCGAAAGCCTGGGTGATTTACCCCAGTTAAAATCGCTGGAGCTGGACCTGCCCGCGCTGGAGCATCTGCCCGAGGGATTGTGTGAAGGCCGCCTTTCTTCGTGCCTGGAAAAGCTGAGCCTGACCAACTGCGATCAACTGATGGAGCTTCCTCCCTCACTATACATGCTGACTTGTTTAGAGTCCCTCCATATCGAATCATGCTCCAATATAGAGTCTCTGAAGCCGCTGACCCCTCCGGGCCTCCCTGAATGGTCCGGAATTGCATTGGAATCGTTCGGCCTGGCTGAAAAGCTGATCATTGGTGCACTCTTTTCCGTGATGGAAGTGATCTCCCTGCCACTGCTTACGGTGCGAGAGCTGATAGAACCGTCTTCTGCTGCCACGCACGCTTCTGCTGGCGCTGAAAGCAGCAGTCCTGTCGTTGCTGCTGTGCCACTGGTTTTAGTTGTGATGGTGCTGCTGATGCCTCTGCTGCCCAGTGCGTGGCTCTATCCTGCCATGCTGCTCGCTGCTGCGCTGCTGGCGATCCTGTTCCTACAACCCGTTGCTTCTACCTCTGCCTCTGCCTCTGCCTCTGGCCCTGCTTCTGCTCCTGACTCTGCCACTGCTTCTGCTCCTGCCACTGCATCTGCCCCGGCCCCTGCCCCTGCCCCGGCCCCTTTCCCGGCCCCTGCCCCTGCCCCTGCCCCTGCCCCTGCCCCTGCCCCTGCCCCTGCCCCTGCCCCTGCCCCTGCCCCTGCCCCTGCCCCTGCCCCTGCCCCTGCCCCTGCCCCTGCCCCTGCCCCTGCCCCTGCCCCTGCCCCTGCCCCTGCCCCTGCCCCTGCCCCTGCCCCTGCCCCTGCCCCTGCCCCTGCCCCTGCCTCTGCCCCTGCCCCTGCCACGCATAGCGAACCTATCCATGCCTTTGATTCTGCAGCAAATGGCACGAAAAAACACCCGGGCCTATTTTCCCTCACCGTATTGAAGGTTTCAGACTGCCCGCTTATCTCCTCCCTCCCAAGAAACTTCTCCTTCCCTGCCCTGCACACGCTCACCCTGCATTCTTTGGGCATTCCGAAAGATCTCCTGGACTTATCCAGCAGGCAGCTGCCCCAACTGCAGCATCTGGAGTTGGAGAGGATGGGTGCTGAAGCTGACCCATGGCTGTTTGACCGCATTCCCGGTGCGCGGTCGGGGAGAATGTGGCTTTTTCTGCATGTGAAAGCTCTGTTTGTGCTTCTGCATGTGGTGGATTCATTGCTGCAGCTGGCTGTGTTGCTGATGAGGGCGGGTTGTTCAGTGCTGCGGGGTGCGTTCACTCGGACACTTGGTCTTGCATGCCAGTCTTCGTGACTTGGGATAATTGTACTGCACATCTTTGTATACGGTACAGATTGTGCAATAAAGGTGGTAGAAAGAAAACTTCCTGCCACATCCTGTCTTGATGCATGCCAGCGAATGGTCAATGAGAAACCAGATCGTGAATCTATATGGATGGTATACCGTACACTCGTTGCATCTAGCTTGTTGTCTTGGTTTATGAGCCTCTTAGAGTTTGTCCAGCTTGAAGCTTTTATGGAACGTTCACCTTGGATATGTGTTTGGTGGCCCTGTACCACGTTTCATATTTCCCTTAAAACGGGATTTCATTATTGACACTGACTGTCGGGGTTGACTCGAGTCAAATTCAGCCCTCCTTTTTCGCGAGTGCTCCTCCCACGCTGTTGACGTCCCCAGACCGCCCAGTCACCCGTGTTCTTCCCCCAACGACCGCAGTGCGCGCCGAGCGCACAACAAACGAGCCTGCCCCCATACCAAAACACAGATCCCTCCGTTTGCTTCGTTGCGTTTCCCAACCTGCTCCCCACCTTCGTCTCATCCCATCCCATACCCCACTCTAACCAACCAAGCTTGAATCGCATCAGCACTTGCCTACGTTAGTTTAGGCAAGCCGCTATGCTCTAGGGTAGCAGATCTATCTGCGCCTAATCCATTTCCCTCGTTCGCCTGATTAGCGATGTCTCTAAACAACCACGCGATGGCGTTAGTTCCTTTCGTTAGCCGCCTCAAAGCCATGGTTTCACCTGCGCGCACCGATTCACCCTTCCCCATAGAGAGCCTCCCCGACGATGTCCTCGCGCTCGTGCTCCGCTCGCTCGCGCAGACCTCCTTCCGCCACGCGCTCGTTTCCAAGCGCTGGCTCCGCGTCGCCACGTCCGCACTCTCCCACTTGACCATTCGGCATCGCGATCTGTCGATGCAAGAAATACGCGATTCCGAGCACTTCCGCAACGCGCAGCTCGCGTGGCTCCCGCTCCCGCGCCTTCTTTCCGCGCTGCGACGCTTCCCCACCCTCACGCACGTGTCGCTGAGCGAATTTTCGATCGTATCCGCCGACGGCGACGCGCTCTTCCAATGTCTGGCCGCCACGTGTCCGAGCCTGAGCCATCTAACAGTGGAGCATCAGTTTCGCATGGTGGTTACTGTAGACGGCCTCGCGTCGCTCTTCCGTGGATGCTGCAAGCTCAGGGAACTCCGGCTGCTCACCACCTTCTGCCTTCCGCATCTCCCGCCGTCCCTCTCGCTCCTCACGGACCTCCAAACCCTTCACGTGTGCGCTCATCCTCTCTACGGCGATGACTCGTTACAGGAGCTCGATTCACCGCGCGAGAGCATCGGCGCGCTGCAGCAGCTGCGGGAGTTGCGGATCCGCGCGGGAGCGAGTTTCCAGGGACTGGGGGAGTGCGTGGGTCTCCTTAGTAACCTTCGCAAGCTGAGTATCGGTACTTGCTTCGCGAGAACCATCACGAAGCTTCCCGACTCGATAGGCGACTTGGCTCGGCTGGAAACCCTAGAAATCGAGCTGGACGGGCTCGAGTGCATTCCGGAATCATTCCAACTGCTGACCGGGCTGAAAACTCTTTTCATCCAATCAGAGAATTTGCAATGCCTGCCCGAAAATGTTATGGCGGGTCTGACGCAGCTGCAGTCTCTCTCCCTCCACGAATGCAATGCCCTTGAAATTCTCCCAGAGAGCATCTGCTTCCTCCCTCTCTCCTCCCTCTCCATCTCCTCCTGTTCCTCCCTCACCTCACTCCCACACCACATCGGCGCCTTGTCCCATCTGGAAACCCTAAAGCTCCTCTCCCTTGATAACATCCTGGCTCTGCCCGAAAGCCTGGGTAATTTACCCCAGTTAAAAACGCTCGGGTTGGACCTGCCCGCACTGGAGCATCTGCCCGAGGGACTGTGTGAAAGCAGCCTGCCAGCGTGCCTGGAAAAGCTGAGCCTGACCAACTGCGAGCAGCTAAGGGAGCTCCCCCACTCACTGTACAAGCTGACTCGTTTAGAATCACTCGTTATCGCGTCATGCCCTCTTATAGAGTCTCTGAAGCCGCTGACCCCTCCAATCTCCTTTGAAGGGTATGAAACGGTGAAAAGCTCAAGTGAGACGGAATCATACAGCCTGGCAGAAAAGGCAATCACTGCCGCACTCTGCATTGCTGTAGTCTTTGCTGTGATGCTGCTCATCTCCCTGCTGCTGCTCACCGTGCAAGTGCTCATAGCACTCTCCACCGCACAATACATCAGACCTCCTGTGCTGCTTGTCCCTGCTACCATGCTCGCTTTCGCTGGCGCTAGAAGTGGCAGCCCTGTCGCCTTTGTTGCGTCGCTACTTCTTGTTGTGGTGGTGTTGCTGATCTCTCTGCTGCCCAGTGCGTGGCTCTATCCTGCCATGCTGCTTGCTGCCGCACTGCTGGTGGTCCTGTTCCTTCATGCAGCTGCCTCAGCCCCTGCCCCTGCCTCTGCCTCTGCCTCTGCCCCTGCCTTTGCCTCTGCCTCTGCCTCTGCCCCTGCCTTTGCCTCTGCCTCTGCCTCTTCCTTTTCCTCTCCGTCTGTCTCTGCCCCTGCCTATCTATCGATCCCTGTCTATGATTCTAACGCCGAACAACACCCAGGCCTAGTGTCCCTCGCAGTATTAAAAGTTTCTAACTGCCCACTCATCTCCTCCCTCCCAGGGAATTTCTCCTTTCCTGCCCTTCACACCCTCACCCTGCATTCCCTGGGCAACCTGAAAAACCACCTGAACTTCGCACCCAGGCAGCTGCCGAACCTGCAGTATTTGGATCTGGAGGGGGTGGGTGGCAACGAGGCTGACCCGACCCTGCCTGACTGCTTCGTTCCCTTTGTGAGGTTCAGCAGGGCTGCTCTGGCAAGCACTGGTGTGCCATTTGACAGCGTTCTCTGCGTGCCACTACAGGCCGTAGAGCTGCTGCTGCGCGTGGTTGTGTGCTTGTTCCAACCGACTTGCACGAGAGTGTGTCGATTATACAGGTTGGCATGCACATGGGGGAGGAGAGGGTATTGGAAGCTGCAGCGGCGTGGAAGGTGCAGAGCATTTTTTTCAGTAAATAGGCTGATGGGGTAGGAGAGGTGATGGAAGTGGGGAAGTGAGGGCTCATTGCTTCACATTACTGCCCTCATTTATAAAAGATACATCTTATATCTTTTGAAAGATACATCTTATTTCAGGTGAAGTCGAATCAAAGTGCCATACAAAGAACCTGTGCCACTTTTCACCTGTGATGTGACCTCTTGAGGCGCCTTGTCAGCTGATTTGCTGCATTTTCATTCACCGGTACAATTTTCAGTAACCTGCGCGCTCATTGCTCAAATGTCGCTACGTGTCTTGCATGGGCTCTGCTGCTGTTTTCGCCAGCCCTCGTATCTCCACGTCATACACCACCTCCTCCACCTTCTTCAGATCGTACTTAATGCCTGCAGATAACGGAAAGGGCAGAGAGAGTGAAATACATACGATTTGAGGCACATAAAGAAGACATACACCACCACCGTCTTGCCACGTCGTCTTACACCGCCTCCTCCACCTTCTTTAGGTCGTACTTGATGGCTGTGGGGAAAAGAAACGGACAAAGCACAGAGGATGAAACACATGCCTTTCAGAAGTGCATGTATCTCTCCGTGACCACCTCTTCCCACGTCATACACCACCCCCTCCACCTTCTTCAGATCGTACTTGATGCTTGCAGGTAACGGGGGGATGTCAAAGGTACACACACATAGAGTGATGGGAGCGGAGTAGTGACTTAATGCAGTCATGCTGGCAGGGCACCTCATCTCCACGTCATACACCACCTCCTCCACCTTCTTCAGATCGTACTTGATACCTGCAGGGCACGCAGAGAGAGACGGGAGAGTGACATAAGGCACACATGCCGTCCTGCCAGCACCAGCCCTCGCATCTCCACGTCATATTATACCCCACCTCCTCCGCCTTCTTCCGGTCGTACTTGATGCCTGTGGGCCATGGCACAGCGGGAGGCATGCGTCAGACATGGAGAGATCGGGGGCACACGGAAAGAGGCAGCTAATTCCCAAGAGACTTGACAGATGCACTACTGGTTGGGCCCCCTGGCCTAATCTCCACGTGGTTGATCCCCCCCTTCTTCACCTTCGTGCCAAGGTTGAGAGCATGGCAAAGGCAGGGACGAGGCAGTCACATGCGCACCCGCCAAATCGAATCTACTAACATCGGCACATGCACTTACGCACCGTCAAATCTCTTCCGGAGATCATTGCACAGCTCTGAAATACAGACCCCAGATATTCGCACTATGGTTCTAAATTATTCTTTTTGTATTGAGCTTGCGAACGGCAGCAAAGAGGCAGTCATGTGCCCCCATCAAATCAAATCTAATATAATACAGCCCATATGACTCTAACCACACACCATCGAATCGCTTGCGGAGCATGTCGTTGCGCAGGTTGAGCTTGCGGAAGGCAGCAAAGAGGTCGTTAAGAAAGGCGGCCACTACTCGCGGGACAGCGTAGTCGCCCGCTGTCACCCTGTTCATCACGAAGCGCGGCTGGTGTAGGAGGTAGGGGCGAAAGCAGAGAGGGGACAGGTGCATGCATGGCAGAGAGGGGACAGGTGCATGCATGGCAGAGAGGGGACAGGTGCATGCATGGCAGAGAGGGGACAGGTGCATGCATGGCAGAGAGGGGACAGGTGCATGCATGGCAGAGAGGGGACAGGTGCATGCATGGCAGAGAGGCAGCAAAGAGACAGTTGAGATATGCAGCTGCCACTCGCGGGACAGAGTAGTCGCCTGCTGTCACCCTGTTCATCACGAAGCGCGGCTGAGATGGCTTGAGGGAGCGAGAAAGAGAGGGGAGCGAGAAAGAGAGGGGAGCGAGAAAGAGAGGGGAGTAACGTTATGATGCAGGTGGCGAGGCAGCAAAGAGGCAGGTGGCGAGGCAGCAAAGAGGCAGGTGGCGAGGCAGCAAAGAGGCAGGTGGCGAGGCAGCAAAGAGGCAGGTGGCGAGGCAGCAAAGAGGTTATTGAGGAATGCAGCTGCCGATTGCGGGCACCCGTAGTCGCTTCGCCTGCTGCTACCCTGTTCATCACGAAGAGATGCGGAGGGGGAGAGAGAGGCAGAGGGTGAGAGATGCAGGGGCAGAGGGGGAACAGATGCATGCATGGGAGAGAAGCAACAATGAGGCAATTCAGGAAGGCAGCAGCCACTCTAGGGAATGCGTGGTCACCCGCGTGTGATGCGTACAGGGTGAGTGATGTACGGCCCTGCTGCCTTGCTGCTAGGGAGAGTGATGTACGGAGAGTGATGTATGGAGAGTGATGTACGGCGCCGCCAGAGAGGCAGCGAGGAGGTCATTGAGGAAGGCAGCGAGAGACGTGATGGCAAATGGATGGAGACAAGCAAAGACGAGCAACGAGAGGACAGTAGAGCACATGGGGGCGGGGCAGGGAGCATCGAGAAGAGCGGTGCTGGAGGGTAGAGGAGGGTGGAGGAGGGTGGAGGAGGGTAGAGGAGGGCAAAGGAGGGTGGGGGAGGGTAGAGAAGGGTGGAGGAGGGTGGGGGAGGGTAGAGGAGGGTGGAGCTCACGAATTCATTGGAGAGACTGCAGAGGCCGGTGAGATAGTCCTCTAAATCTATGCTGAACGATGATGCACGCACTGGGAGACATGCACCATGGGTGGAAGAGGAGGGGAGGAGGAGGGGGGGATGGTGGGAGGGGGGGACTTATGAGTCGACTCAAAACACGGAGGTTGGTAAGATAGTCCTCTAGATCTATGCTGAACGATGCTGCACGCACTGCAAGACACGCACCACGGGGGCAAGGGAGGAGGGGGAAGAAGGTAGGGCGGAGCCAGCCCTTTGAGTCACTCGAGTGTTTGGAGAGCCTTCGAGGGAAACCATGAAAAGGTTCTCTAAGAACAGTCCTCAGTTAGAAGCCAAATACTCTGAAATCTTAAACAGGGTCTACAGTGGCTTACACTGTAGCTGCTCCTCTAGTTGCTTGTGTGAGAGCAGCGTTCCGGAGTCCAGCCAATGAGCGAACGCCAGCTGGGACACCACCGTGTGGTTCTGACTGCGCCAGTGGTCGCTGAACCTGAGGTGGGGAGTGCGACACCAATAAGCAAGAGGAAAGCGAACAAGCATTCCATACTCGTTATAAGAGAGAGAAAGAGGATGCAGGGAGTCACAGAAGCAAACCCCAGATGCAGACCAGCACTAGGTGTACATCCGCCTAACACTTGCATGTTACTCAACAGATGACTGAGTCGAGTTTGAAACCGAGCTTGCTTGCTTGCTTGAGAGCATACACACTGAGAGCTTGCGTGCTTGACAGCAGCGCTCTCCAGTTTATTCCTTCAACACGTACGTACCTGTAGAACTCGCCCGGGCGGCGAGCAATGATTGCTGCCAGCTCAGCATAGGCCGCCTGCAGCTTTGGCACGCTCTCCCGTGCCTTCTGCACCGCCTGCTGCACTGCGGGGAGGCTCAGAGGGGGATGGGGATTGGTGGGCGGGGGTGGGGAAGAGAAGGGCGCCAAGGGTTCGAGGGGAAGATCGGACCGGTATTGGATGGGTACAGATGGGTACAGATTTACTACACCCGCGCCTTCTGTATCGCCTGCTGCACTGAGGGGGGTGAGAGGGGGATGGGGATTGAGGAAAGAAGGTTGACATGAGCGGGAGAGAAGAGCGGGGCAATCATTCGATGCTCTCTCCCCCGTCGCACCTGCGCCTTCCTGCCGCCCATGCACGCCCAGCAGGTTCGACTGTAGCTGCCGCCGCGTCAGTTCGTCCATCCGCTGCGCGCCGATGGTCGCTCCGCCCCCCAGTCTCACCTGCACCCCCCAGCTTCCGCTCATGCTCTCACCCCACCCACCTGCGCCTTCCTGCCGCCGATGCACGCCCAGCAGGTCCGACTGCAGCTGCCGCGTCAGCCCGTCCATCCGCTGCACCGCCGCGCGCAGGTCGTCGCGCACAGCCGCCACCGCCTCCAGCTGCGCGCCGATCTCCGCCAACTCCGCCTCGAGATCTCCGCCGCCCGCCCCGCCGCTGGCGGGCGCAGCAAGAACGTCTGCGGGAACGGGCTCCATGTGGAGGATTAACCGCCTAAGCGCGAAGGGAGTACTATTGGCGGGGAAAGGACGCTGATACGTTAATGATGGCGAAGTTAGGAAACAAGTGCAGAGGACGAGCTGAATCAGAGCATGCACCGTGCAAGCAACAAGGAAATTCACGTGTGCGATAAGTGCAAGCAGCAAGCACAAATTCGGTGAGTACGCCCCAAAAGCATCGCCTGTAAGCGTAAAAAATATTATAATGAGCAAGCCTGAAAAGTAGACCATGATCGTGCCAGACATCCATTATTCTTGACGAAACATACTTATTAATCATGTCACACGTATCCAAAGTGTAGCAAGAAAAGCTGGTAGAGCAGCGTAGCCAAAAGAGATTTGGGCCGGGGAATTAATGAGATGACATAGGGAATGCGTCACGAGTTGGTCAATGAAGGGTATCAAAGGAAGAGGTTCAGAAAGGGAGCAGGGTTTGCAGAAGGAGTTAGCGGAGAAAACAGGAGAAGTCTATATGAGGAAGACAAGAAAGCGTGGGAATACCACGAGCAAAGCAGGAGTACAGCTGGGAAAAGGATCGGCGGTAGGGTTGTCAGAATTCCAGTCACTAGCCCACTTGGATAAAAGGGCTTGTTGAGTAGCAGGTCCGTGCGCCCATACCACACCCTCCCAGGCGAACGCACCTGTAACCCATCCATAGGATCAATCGAGGATCCACAGTGTAGGTCTTCTAGGTCACGCGAGTAACGTGGTTATGTACGTTTTGACATATTGCAAGCCAGCAAGAGCGTGGGAGGGTGGCGAGCATAATCGGCCATTGGTACTCATCAATGAAAAATGCCAGCAGCATTTATGCACATGTACGGATTCTCTCGCGTTTTTTGGCTGAAACCGCTCGTTCCGAGCCAGGGTCGTCGCTAGCAGAAATTTCTTGTCTGTATATCTTATCTCAAGTCGAGTTTTTTGAGTTCATATGATTTTTCAGAAATTGGTTTTTGTGATTTCTGATTGATAAGAAGTAGTTTTTGTTAAATTGTAATGTGTTATATGTTGGTAGGCTGTAGTGGGGTAGCCAATATGGGGTACAACCCCAACTAGGGTTTACTACTTGTACCCAACTGTTTCATTCAATGCATCATTCTTGCCTAGTCCTGTTGATATGGTATTCAGAGCAGGAGGTCCCTAGGACCTACCGACCGTTTTTTTAGGGCCCACCACCGCTCGCATGCGGTTACCACGCTACCCCGTGCCCTAGCCTCGTAGCGCCCTCGTGCGCCCTCGTTAGCGCCCTCGCGCGCCCTCGTTAGCGCCCTCGCGCGCCCCTCGTTAGCGCCCTCGTGCGCCTCTCGTTAGCGCCCTCGTGCGCCTCTCGTTAGCGCCCTCGTGCGCCTCTCGTCAGCACCCTCGTGCGCCTCTCGTTAGCGCCCTCGTCAGCGCCCCCCGTTGCGCCCTCGCCCGCCGCGCTGCTCATCGCGCTGCCCGTTGCGCTGCCCGCCGCGCTGCCCGCCAGTAGCGCCGCCCATCCGCCGCGCTATCCGCTCGCGCTGCCCGCTCGCAGCGTCGCCCGCCCGCCGCGCTGCCCGCTCGCAGCGTCGCCCGCCCGCCGCGCTGCCCGCTCGCAGCGTCGCCCGCCCGCCGCGCTGCCCGCTCGCAGCTTCGCCCACCCGCCTGTCGCGCTGCCCGCCTGCAGCGCCGCCTGCCCACCGCGCTGCCCGCTTCGCAGCCCGCCCGCCGCGCTGCCCGCTCGCAGCGTCGCCCGCCCGCCCGCCGCGCTGCCCGCTTGCAGCGCCGCCTGCCCGCCGCGCTGCCCGCTTCGGTGGCCGTCCGCCGCGCTGCCTCTTTGCAGCGCCGCCTGCCCGCCGCGCTACCTGCCACGCTGCCCGCTCAGAGCGCCGCCCGCCCGCCGCGCTCCCCACCGAGCTACCTGCTTGCAGCGCTGCGGCAGCTTGCTTTGCTCAGTCGCACTGTCGCTATGGCTTCCATCCGCGTGCTGTCGTTCGATGCTGAGGGCCGCCCTGTGCAGTTCACCACTTGGCTAGATGACCTGCAGCTGTTCCTCCTGAGCGATAGCAAGGAGCATGTGTCGCTCTATGATTACGCGTCTGGTGCTGCGCCTGCCCCTCCTACCACAGCTGAGCTTAGTGTTCGTTCCCACTGGCAGACTCGTGACGCAGCTGCTCGCCTAGCCATTCGCAGTCACCTGCCGTTAGCTGAGCTCGAGCATTTTGGCGACTGCAAATCCGCTAAGGCCCTGTACGACGCTGTCGTTGCTCGCTACTCCTCGCCTGCCACAGCCGAGCTTAGCCGCCTCATGCTGCCTTACCTGTTCCCTGAGCTGTCCACCTTTGCTACAGTCGCCGATCTTATCACCCACCTTCGCACTAGTGATGCTCGCCTGCGTGCCGCCCTTCCCACCGAGTTCTGCGCTAAGAACCCCCCTCCACTGTACTGGACCCTCCACTTCATAGTCACCCGTCTCCCTGACACCCTCAGCTCAGTTCGAGACTACTTCCTTGCCCGCTGTCCCACTGAGCTCACAGTCCCCCTCCTCGAGGAGCAGCTGCTAGCGGCCGAGAAGAGCATTGTAGCTGTCGGTGCTGCTCGTGGCGCTCCTCGCACCCCCATCTTTGAGGGGTGTTCTCCCTCTCCCCTCGCTCCCTCCTACGCTACTGCTGCTGCTGTTGACTTCCTTGGTGCTGAGTCTGCTGGCGCTGCTTCTGCTCCTGGTGGGAGGCGCCGCACCGGCAAGGGCAAGGGGGGCAAGGGTGGCGGGGGTGGCACTGGGGGGGGAGGAGGTGGGGGAGGTGGGGGGGGAGGCGGTGCTGGAGGGAGCGGTGGCGGGAGTGCTGGTGGGAGTGGGGTCGGCAGCGGAGGCGGGGGCGGCGGAGGGAGCGGTGGCGGTGGCGGCGGCGGTGGCGGCGGTGGCGGCAGTGGCGGTGGCGGCGGTGGCGGTCGGAGCGGAGGTAGTGGTGGCGGCGGAGGTCGGAGTGGAGGCACTGGCTCGGGCCAGAGCTCCCAGCAGCAGCAGCGTCCCCAGACGTCCCAGCAGCTTCGTGAGTGGCTTGCTCAGCGTGGGACGTCGGGGGGCAGTGTCCGCTGTTCCTATGTCATTCGCACAGGTGACCGCAAGGGACAGACGTGTGGGAAGTTCCACACCCCGTACCGCTGCTTCTCCCGCCTTGACGACGCTTGGCGTGAGGAGATGGGCGAGGATGTTGAGCGCCCCCGCTGGGCGGAGCTGATGAGGGCTGGTGTTGATATCTTTGCTCTTGACTATGATGCTATTATTGCTGCCATGTATGCATTGACTGTTAGTGCCGAGGGAGACTGTTACTTGTGTGTGCCGCCTGACCCAGGTATAGAGCCCGCTGCCCTAGGTACTAGTGAGTCTGCTCTCTCTGGTCTGGTGCCCTCTGTGGCTGCTCCCTCCGGTACTGTCCCTGCTGCTTGTGAGTCTGCTCTCTCAGGTACAGCACCCACAGAGACTGCTCTCTCAGGTACTGCACCGGCTGAGGCCTGTCACACCTTCACCCTTGACTCAGGTGCTTCCCACTGTTTCTTTCGTGACCGTACTGAGCTCACACCGCTTCCTGCACCGGTCCCAGTCTCCTTGGCTGACCCCTCTGGGGGCCCAGTCCTTGCACGGTCCACCACTGTGCTCCCGTGTCCAGCGGTTCCGTCCGGCTCGTTTCGGGTTTCCACCTCCCCTTGTTCTCGACGAACCTGGTGAGCAACGCTGTCATCCAGGATCAGTGGGTTGACACCTTTACCCCTGGAGGACAGCGTGTGGCGATCCTCACGTGCTCCAGGTCCGGCCGTCACCTGGCTACGTTTACCCGTCAGCCGGGGTCGAGTCTCTACACACTGACCACTGCGTCTCCTCAGGTCGCTGCTGTCGGTCAGGTGTCCGCGTCAGGTCTGGTGGCCCACGCCTGTGAGTGTCGTTCCCTGTCGCACCAGACTCTTCTCTGGCACCACCGCCTGGGTCACCCCTCCTTGCCACGCCTCCGTGGCATGCACCGTCGCCACCTTGTGTCTGGTCTTCCCAGGTCCCTCCCTCCCCTCCCTGCCTCGCCTGCGCCGCCTTGCCTTCCTTGTGTCGAGGGGCGGCAGCGCGCCGCTCCTCACTCCTCCTCGTTCCCCCCGACAGAGGCTCCTCTGCAGACCCTCCACCTGGACGTGTGGGGCCCAGCCCGCGTTCGTGGTCAGGGCGGTGAGCGGTACTTTTTGCTGGTTGTCGACGACTACTCGCGTTACACCACGGTCTTCCCCTTGCGCACCAAGGGTGAGGTCCCTGCTGTTCTGATCCCTTGGATCCGCACAGTTCGTCTCCAGCTCCGCCGCCGTTTCCGGACGGATCTTCCTGTCCTGCGTCTGCACTCTGACAGAGGTGGTGAGTTCTCCTCCGACCTCTTGAGGACCTTCTGTCAGGCGGAGGGCATCGAGCAGACCTTCACGCTTCCGGACTCCCCACAGCAGAATGGGGTTGCTGAGCGCCGCATTGGCCTAGTCATGGAGGTCGCTCGTACCTCCTTGGTCCACGCGGCGGCTCCCCATTTTCTGTGGCCGTTTGCTGTCCGGTACGCCGCGCATCAGCTCAACCTCTGGCCCCGTGTCTCCTTGCCGGAGACCTCGCCCACACTGCGTTGGACGGGGGAGGTTGGCGATGCGTCGCGCTTCCGGGTGTGGGGTGCTCGTGCCCTTGTCCGCGATACGTCCGCGGACAAGCTCTCCTCCCGCACGCTTCCCTGTGTCTTCCTTGGCTTTGTCCCTGACGCGCCTGGCTGGCAGTTTTACCATCCCACCTCGCGCCGGGTCTTCGCCTCTCAGGACGTCACCTTTGACGAGTCGGTCCCTTTCTACCGTCTCTTCCCCTACCGCACTGCCCCCCTCCCTCCCCCGCCGCTTTTCCTTGCTCCTGGTCCCCCTCCGGTAGACCCCCTCCCCCCTCAGGGTCCTGCTCCTTCAGGTGTCTCTCAGGTAGACCCTCCTCCCGTCGCTGAGCCTGTCGAGGTCACAGG